TATATATATATATATATATATATATATATATATATATATATACATATTTATTTATTTACATATTTTCAATTTTCAATGTAATGTAATGAGACGTATAGAGAGAGAGATATTTTAAATTTGTATATATAATAATTTATATATATATATATTATTTTATATATACATATTATTTATATATGTAAATATATATATATATAATACGTAAGAATAAGTGTGGTGTGCAATCCATCCTCTGTCCAAATTCTGTCAAACCATTTTCTATTGTAGTTACAGTTTTTTATCTAAGGAAAACCAGCTGATTGCATCAAATCAGTGACTCAATACCAATCCCTCACACCAAGCATGCTTTTAGCGACGGTGGAGAGGCAAACAGGAAGAAACCTCCATCAGAACCAGGCTCAGTGTGAGCGGCCATCTGCTGAGGCCGACTGGGGTTCAAGGAGACAGAAGCAGACATAGAAAAAGAAGCATAGATACAAAAGGCAACTGTCAACCAGCTCCACAGGCGGCCCCGTCCAGGAAACACACAGCCAGGCAGACGAGCTCCGAGCCAGCTCCCATGTCAGAGGATGAAGAGAGCACATCCAGTTAGTCTCAGTCAGGGAAACAGGACTACACTGAAAAACAGGCCAAGCTCCAACATCTAGAAACAAAGGTGATGATGGCAGCAGCACAGCTGATATTTCTCTCCAGGATGGAGTCACAGCCAAACAGGAACAGACCAGATGAAGCTACTCTGAGAAAAAGCAGAGAGAGCAGAACGTTAGAGATTGAACTAACAGATTCTGCAGAGTGGGAGAATAGAGATAGAATAAGGCAGACTGATGAAAAAGGGGTCCCTATGTCCTCCAGCAGTCTAAGCCTATAGCAGCATAACTATAGAGATAGCTCAGGATAACCTGAGCCACTCTAACTAGAAGCTTTATCAAAAAGGAACGTTTTAAGCCTAGCCTTAAAAGTAGACAGGGTGTCTGCCTCACGGACTAAAACTGGTAGTTGGTTCCACAGGAGAGGAGCCTGATAAATAAAAGATCTGCCTCCCATTCTACTTTTAGAAATTCTAGGAACCACTAGTAAACCTGCAGATTGAGAGCGAAGTGCTCTGTTAGGAACATAAGGAACAATCAGATCTCTGATATCAGATGGAGCTTGGCCATTTGAGGCTTTCTATGTGAGAAGGAGGATTTTAAATTTTATTCTGGATTTAACAGGAAGCCAATGAAGAGAAGCCAGGATAGGAGAGATATGATCTCTCTTTTTAATTTTCATCAGAACTCTGGCTGCAGCATTTTGGATCAGCTGAAGGCTTTTAACTACAGTTTGTGGACTTCCTGATAGTAAAGAATTACAATAGTCCAGCCTTGAAGTAACAAATGCATGGACTAGTTTCTCAGCATCGTCCCTGGACAGGAGACTTCTCATTTATGCAATATTGCACAAATGAAAGAAGGAAATTCTAGAAACCTCTTTGATGTGGGATTTAAATGACAGGTCCTGATCAAAAATAACACCAAGATTTTTTTCTTTATTATCTGAAATCAGTTTAATCCCATCCAAATGAAGTGACTGGCTAATCAGCTTATTTTTCAAAGATTCTGGTCCAAAGACTATAACTTCTGTTTTGTCTGCATTCAGAAGGAGAAAGTTAAGAGTCTACCAGGTTTTTATGTCTTCAAGACATGCCTGTAATCTATGGAACCGGTTCCATAGATTACAGGCATCATCCTCATCCTGAGAAAGAAGAGTCATTGTTGGGACTTCTTAACCAGGTTGGAGGTGTTCTCAGTCAAAGATAGGTCAGAGGAAGAATGAATGCCCCTGAATTCTACTGATGTTTACAAGCATCACCACCAACAGTGTGTCCCGTCTTCCTGCACCACCCGTAAACCATGTATGTAAACAGCAAACCAAAGGTCCAGCTTGACCTAGTTTCTGTAAATCACGCGTTACAGTGGTAAGACATCTCATTCAGTTCCCTGAGGAAACCTCCTATCACATGCTCACAGTGTGATGCTGGAAACCACAACAATCCTGACCTTTTCACACTGAGATCAGAGTGAAACCTGCTTTCACCGTTAGATGGCGCCATAAACAAATGTAAGATCTAAGGCTGATGTCCACACTGACAATAGTCTAACATAGAAGGAAGTTAGATTTTTCTGCTCCTTTAATTATGAGTTTTACTCATATATCAAATTCAGAGCTTTAATATTAGTTATTCTTTCCTTTGGTCTTCTAGTTTTTTTGTTCCCTAATCTAAATCTTATAAATCAAGTAACTACAAAATATAAAAAGACAGGATTTCTATGCTGTTAAAGTCTATGTGCATGATCCTTTAATAGATCTGAAAGGATGTTTGTTGGCAGCAGATAATCCAGCTACAAGCACCAACGGCAGACGCCTGATCAAAGATCTCCTCAGTTTCAGCTCATCAAAGAGCCTTTTCTGTCTGGTGTGCTCTTCCTCTCAGTCAACAACATGTTTTGGTGACTCAATCCTTACTTTGCAGAATATCTGAGACACTTTTCACAGTGAAAAATCATTATTTTTTTCATGTTCAGCTTCTTTAAGATTTTGCTGCACAAGAATTTTAGGGAAGTGTGTCCATAACTCTAAGTGAATGCAAAACATATTAAACCTTTAGCACAGAGGTGTTCATGGATAACGGCTCACACCCACGCTTATCAGTGTTTGAAAAGCAGTTGTGATTTTGCTCCTTTTGATTCTACTTGTACCGCCGTCTTAGCATGACCATGTAAAGGTTTATGTCTTTGTGTTGCCATGAGAAACACCTGTGATACACACTGATCATAAAAAGCTGCAGCATTGACCTACTTTGAGCTGTCCTTATCACAATGGATGATAAGCAAACAGTTACCTTACCCCCTTATCCATTACACAGGGTGGCTGTTTGAGCTTACTGAACACAAATTAAAATGCAACCAAGGCTTTTAGTAGTTAAAAAACGTATAGTACTCTTGCAAAAAATTATCTTTTTTCATCTTGAAATATATTTGATTGTATGTCTGGCAGTTCTGTAAAAGCACATTAATTTTTAACTTTGATATGCCTGAGAAAAAGTGCAGAAAGGTGTTTAAAGTTTACTCTGTCAAAAGTTGACTTTTTCCATGGAAAGGTGGGTGAAGCAGAGCGGACAAAGTTCCTCGACACCAAATATAAACAGAGATTATTAAGGGTTTTCAGATGAGAGAGGAACCAGGTTCAGTGATTGAATCAGAATTGTACAAAGATCCATATTTTTAGAGTAATTATAAAGTAATTGGTTGTAAGCTGTTTGTAAAAAAATAAATAAATAAATCACAAGTTAAAAAAGGATTTAACAGGATTTTATGCCCGGCCAACACAAAATGTTGTTTGAAAAAAAGAACCAAAGGAGAAAATTATATTTGCTTCTAAAGATTTTTTTTACAAACATTTTGAAAAGTGTGGCATGCATTTTTAATTAGTCCAAATTCCTTCGAAGTAAAAGTACCTCACATCATTTGGGGTGTTTCTCTGCCAGTTCAAACATCAGGAAACTGAAATTGTTTCTACTTTTTCTTTGCAAAAAGGCTGAACCTCAATCAAATTAGAAGTCTTGCCACTGATTGTTAGTTGGATCTGAATGTGACTCTAAGTGGTTTATTCTAACCCCCCCCCCCCCCCCCCCCCCCCATCCTCCCCACCTTTTCCAGAAGCACCATAGAGAGCGTTCTGAGCAGCTGTCTCACTGTGTGGTGTGGAGGCTGCAGCGCCTCAGACTGGAAGAAGGTGAGAACAGCAGAGAGGATCATGGGGGCTCCTCTTCCCTCCATTAAAGACATTTCATCCCAGCGCTGCGTGTCCCGAGCCCGTGACATCATCAATGACCCCTCACCCCCCACGCCATGGACTGTTCTCCCTGCTGCCCTCTGGGAAGAGGCTTCACAGCATTCAATGCAGGACCAGCAGGTTCTGCAGCAGCTTCTTCCCCATCGCCATCAGACTGATGAATGTTGTATAAAATGTGGTTTAAAAAAAAAACAAAAAAACACTGATTGTTGGAAAAGCTATAAATCTTATCCCAATCTTATGTTTATATTTGATCACCATGTTTACATTTTATCACTGCTGCACTTTAAAAAAGCAAAATGTCTTGGGAGCTGTACTGAACGAAATTTCCTTTTTAATACAGCCTGTGTAAGAAATGACAAAGGCTTTCTAAGATCCAATGTTTAGCTGTAGTTCTAGTTGGATTGATTTTGTGGTTGTCTTGTTAGAAGGTAAACAGGCACCCGAGCATCAGTCTATGGAAAAACATCTTTGCTGCAGTAATAAGTGTATGTTTATTGGGACGTATTTATCAACGTTCCATGTCTACGGTTTTAGCTCAGTCTGTTTAGTCTTAGAAATAAAAGCTCTTTGATTGGTTTTCCTGCAGGTCTGGACTTTAACTGAGGTGTTTCAACACAGGTAGCATAAATTCACATTGACCTTATAAATTCCATAAGAACTATATGTTCAGTGTTGACCAGCTGGAAAGTGAATCAAGTGTTTTGAAACTTTTAACTTGGGTTTCTCATTTATTACTTCACATTTAGTATAAATTATTTCCTTTGTAGCTATATTCATTGCTTAATGCTTAATATTGCTTAATGCTGGGGATTATTACTATTGGTAGATCTGCATGAAGGGTGAAAAACAGCTTTAGTTTTGGTCTTATCTAACCAAAAACATGGGAAACTTAATTTGCTTTATTTATCAGCTAGTTTTCTTGTAATGGCAGTGTTAACACAGGTGATTGCACCAGTTAAGATTTAGAAGTATCGAATTTTTTAAATGCAATCCCACCATTAAGAAATGTATATATCCTTTGTATAATTTTCCTTCATAACAGTGCATCACTTTTAAAAGAAATTAAAAATCTAGTGAAATATATGGGTTTGAGGTTTTCACGTGGCAAAAGTCTCATTATGAATTCATATATCTGGCTGCAATTACATTTACAGACAATGAAAAGATAAAAATTAAAACACAGACTTTATTAGTTATAGCACATACATGATTGCAAAACATGTTTTCAGAGATTAAGAACCACTATATAAACTTTATAATGGGACACATTTAGGGATTTAATGGTTAGATATTAATGTTTGGATGCTTTAAAGACTAACATAGCTTATCAAAATCCTTTGAAGCAGTGACTTGAGATCAGATCCTTCAAATTACACAAACCAAGGACTACAGGAGGGGAAAGGTGCACATAGGTTTGCAGTTTGGTCATAAATGCGAACGAAATAACTGCTGAATCAAAGTTTAATATAACAGTTTGAAAAGAAGCACTTGGGTTTAAACAAATTATAGGTCAAAAGCAATGATATTAGCATCAGTATGTTGGCAGGAAGGATTTCATCTTTTCCAGCAGAGCAGCAGGATCCTGCAGGATGGCCAAAAGGCTGCTCCTGTGGCAGAAGGCAGCCAATCCCAGCGCAGCGGAGGACAGCAGCAGGGGCCACATCCGCCACCTCTGAGGCTCGGGCTCGTTGCATGGCCTTGTCTGCATGGGCTGAGCGACTCTCTCCCATTGAGTTAAGATAGCCTGGCGGGCTCCAGCCCACTTTCCAGGACCCCTAAGTCGGTACTGATACGGGGTGCAGGGGCCGAACAGCAGGTTCAGCCCCAGTCTTGGATCCGTCAGCAGCAGCCTGGAGATTCTGGGTCGGACTCCAACCTGATCTGCAATCTCATCCATGTAGTTGATGTAGTCAACCTGGATGGTGTGTCTCTGACTGCGGACATACCTGATGACAAAGCTCGAGTTTAGCATGTGAAAAACATCACTCCTTTTTTACAGCACCAGGATAAGAACAGAAGGTAATAAAAGTGGAGTAACCTTTACCTTTTAGCCATGTCTTCCTTCTTTGACTTGATATCTCGTTGCATGGTAGCTGATGTAGGAAGTTTTATGCAGCCTGTGCAAAAATATTCACTTTATTAAACAAAAATATATATTCATTAAACAAATTTTAAAGAAGAAGACATGCGTTTGTACTGGTCGGATGCTTCTAGCCTATTTCTGATCTCCATGTTCTGACATAAAGATGGCAATTTGCTTTTCTTTCATTGAGAAGTCATCAATTTATCAACAGACCAATATAATATTAACTAAACTAATCATTTGCCATAGCAACTAAAACAATGATGCATTTACTGCTTTGAAGAACAGATCAGATTTTTTAGTATCAGCCACAGAGTCAGTAACCTGACTCCGCCAGATGGATCCATCTGGAAACCTTCCGTTGAAGTAATTTTGGGAAGGGGCGAAAATACTGGTTAGCTGATTGGCCTATGTTGGTGATAGACGGGCCAAATAAACCAATCAGATCAACGAAGCATATGACGTACTAACAGAGCGATAACGAAAACACAACCACAAGCCAGGCTACTCTTGCCGAAACCAGTCGGGAGAAGAGCAAAAACATCTTTTCCTCTGAGAAAAGCCTCCAGAGCAGTGTTTTGCTCTTCTTTCAATGAAGAAATACTCTGTAATTCCGATAAAACTTGCTCGATAGCCACGCTAACGCTAGTTTCATCGGCTGAAGCCGCCATGTTCTTTAGACTGAACTGTCGCGCTTCTCGTTGCGTCACACCTCAACCCGCCTCAAAGCCAACGCTGATTGGACGTTCGTTTGGTGAACGGCTCCAAATTTTCTTTAACGGAGAGTCTCCAGACTGATTAGCGAGTGAAACCTTGAAAGCTCGCAAGATCAGGATGGTCTCACGAGGCTACAGAGTCAGAGCTGAAATCGTTTTAACTCTCTCACAGATTTCTGAGTTTGCTCTTAAAAAAAAGTTTAAAATGCCTTTTCTTACCTTTAAAGACTCTTGTGGCCCATCGGGCCTGCATCTCACTAATGGGCATGATGGCTCCCAATGGCTGCACCAGACCAATGATAGCTAGGGTGGAGCGTTCCAGCTCAGGAGGAAACACGTACTTGTAGAGAGATGCTTTGTTCTCATTGACTGGGACCACATTAGAAGCCAGGAAAGGGAAAGAAAACGTGTAGCCTGTTGCAAACACCTTTAAGACACAAAGAAAGCTTCTTAAAACACGTCCCAGTGAAGCCGTCATCTCTTTTTGTGCAAAGGAGGATTTAAACCCACCACAAGGTCAACATCATCCACTACGCTTCCATCATCAAACTCAACGCTGGAGTCATGAAATCTGCGGATGTTGGGTTTCACTTGAACCGTTCCGGACAGGATGCGGTTGGGAAGGTCATCATTAACAGTAGGATGTTGACTGAATAACCTGGGAAACAAGCCAAACGGTGCATGATGGGGTTTAATGTGTAATTCAGTTGTGAAAATTATAATGGTTTAATGGCTACTATGTCAAATAAGACAAACTGAAATATATACGTACGCATTTGTAAAGTTTCCTTGACAATATCCTACAATTTAAAGGAAAAGTCCACTCACATTCAGAATTCAAACTTCTGAAAGTACTTTAAGTATGAAATGATTCCATCCTGTTCAATAAATGATCAGTGTTTTTAATTCAGAGTAATTTTCATGTGAATGTGCTTTACTGGAGGCATCCATGTTTGTCAAAGAACACTACTGCCACCTACTGGTTAGTGACGTCACGGTGCGGTATCGGCTGTTGATCAAGTCCGAGTGCTGTATCTGGTGTTTGTCACAACGCGCTATTATCCAAGTCATCTTGAAAACATTCTTCTTCCAAATGTTGGCTACATATTACGGGTTTTTTCTCTGGCCAGAAGTTCGATGGCAAATCCTCCCTCTTCAAGTTGGCGATCCAACGACCAACCCGTCCGTGGAGGATCAGGAATCAGAAAGCTGGAATAACTCTTTTTTTCACTTTTCCCCGATGTATTCCAGCATCCAGCTGCCATGCACGTGGGCATTGTCAGTTTCACTATAGCTCTGGTGAATTTCAATGGTGAAGTCCTCTGGAAATCTTCAATAATTGTTGTTGATTGCAGATGTGTCTAGCAGAGGTGGGCGGATCTATCCTAGAATCGATAAAATCAATTCCAACGCTGGTATAGACATTGAACAATATTCGTTTAAAAAGATTGATACTTTGTACTCTCTCCCACAAGCACTAACTGCAGCAGATTCACCAGTCTCCCTGTCTATATTACAGCGCATTGCTGCTCCCCCCTCCCCTCTCATCACCAGCTCAGAACACAGGCCCAGCCTGGCTCGCCCACTCAGCTCTATCTCCACTCCATACGCAAACATCCATGCTGCTCAGACGGCAGAGAGAGAGAGACCATAGTAGTAGAAAAAACCATAAACAAATTGTTACATGGTTTGTAAAAAGCTGGTTAAATGCAGTTTAAAAAAAGCACACGAAAAACCACAAGCAAGAAAACATCGAGCTACAGAAACAGAGAGAGACGAGACTTTGCTCATTGCCCAGAGAGACCCTCAGTCACACCTGATTGACAGAGGCGTTTCAGACCTCCAGAGAATATCCAGGTGGATAAAAGTGATCACCTTCAGCAGCACTTTATATTAAAGGTATAATAGAGGATCATTATTTATCCCACAATGTGGAACTTTATAGAATTAAAGCAACAGGCCAGTGCACACAATACAAACAAAAATCACATAAGGCTTAAAAGATACAATAAAAGTGGTGGATTATTAACACTATTAACATTACATCCGTAGCGTCGTGAACGCGCATGTGCGCGCTTTCAGGAAATCCTATACACTACTGTTTATGCTCTAAAAACATTCTAAATGACTTCGTTTCGAGTAAATTCTGGATGCTACCCACTCAGGACACTTGGAATACATTGGACGAGCAGTATGGAGGAATATTGAGACGTTTTTTGTGGACTTTTATGGACCTTTCTGCCTCGGGCGCCATAGACCTCCATTATTTGAATGTCAGCAGACAGCAAGAAGCCTCCCAGATCTCCAGATGCATTTGAGATATCAAAAAAGTACTCCAGGGTGTTGTTCAACATGGGGGTGAGTAGAAAATGAAGGCTAATCATGTTTTGGGTGTACTATTCCTTTAATACTGTTATTGTTATTCAATCATAGTAATAAAAATGAAATGACTGAAACACTGAAAGATTGACAGTTCCATGATGCATCAAGCTTAAATGTTAAAAAGTATCCGTATCGTATCGATTTCGGCGATACTAACCCGGATATTTAGTAATACTGATATTTACTTGGTATCGCATCGATTAAAAATTCGCAGTATCGCCCACCTCTAGCGTGTGGTAGTTCCCACTGATTTAGCTTGTAAAGCGGGGAGAATGGCGCTAGGCTTACCGCACCGTGACGTCACTGCAGGAAGATGGCAGGAGGGAGGGGTTACTATATTTGGGCAAAGATGGCCGCTCCCAGACTCAGTGATCGTGACGAAAATTATAATTGTTTTTTACTGATTAACGCTAAATTCATCAAATTAGTTTTAGGTATAAATAATGATCCACTGGTTATTCCTTGCTGATCGGACTTTTCCTTTAAAGCAGTTTTCAACAAGGTTAGCAAATATTTGGTACCTGTGCTTCGGCTTTAGATTGTACAAAGAATGGTTGAATCTGCTGTTGAGTTGCTTCTCCCCTAAAGAGCAGATAAAACTGGAGGGAAGGATGTTACGCATCATGTTCATCGTTCTGCTTATGAGCATATCCAGGGGCATCCCACTGTTTCCAACTCTATTCAGGATCCAGGCTCCCCTTCGAGTGCTCAGGTAAACCTAAAAGAACAAAATAAGGCAAAAAAAATGCTAATAATGTTGAGCGTGTAGGAAAATGTTCAGTTAATGAATGAAGGAAAAAATTAAGCAGTTTCATGATTTTTTAACACTTTATTTCAATTTAGCTACACAGATTATCACACAAATCCTCCAATTCTATGTTGCTTCATATAATTTCTCCTATTGTCGGTAGCAAAATTATGTCCACATCCTGAGAACCTCTGTTTTTTGTGAGTGGAATTTTTTCTGTGAGAGACTAACCCAGATAGATTAAAAACTAAACCCAGTTCTTTCATTTTTCAACCAAATTTGGACATCTAAAACTGAAGTGCACATGTTTATCCCCTCTGAGTCCAACGTTGTTTTTGGGATTACGGCAGCACAATGTTTTCAGGGAGTGTTTCAACAAGATTTACACATTTCCAAACTAATTTTGCTCATTCTTCTAGAAAATAAAAAACTATCTGTGAGCATGTTATCTATTGCACTCAGGGGTATTAGAATGTATTTAGGTCTGGACTGAGTTAGCATTGTAACAAAGAAAACAAAACAAACTGAAACCAATCTATAATAGATCTAGCTCTAAGTCCAGGGCCGCTCTGCATCAGCTAAACTCTGCCCTAGTTTGGAGTCATTTGCAGCAACAAACAAGGTTTTTGTCCAGACTTGATCTGCATTTAGCTCCATCCCTGTTTCTAAGAATTCAGACCGTGTCCATGCTAGCTGCCAATCTCACCTTTAAACATGGGGACGGAGTACTATAGTTGTACTTCTTGGATAAATCTTGAATGTTAGAGCAGTTTACAGGATGTAAGAGCCAATTTGAGACAAATTCATTTATAGTTTTAAAAAGGGTTAAAATACAAGATTGATAATTTTGTTTGTTAAGATTATAATTCAAGTTTAAAAACTTTAACATTAAAACCATAGAATATTGAAATGTAATTTGAAATGCATATTTTTGGGCTTCCTGCATGCTATAATTGTATATGTGTTTTTTTTTTGTTTGCTTTTACGCACTGTGCGTAAGGACTGAAGGAAAAACAGATATGCTGGAAGTAACACAGTTTTTGACCGTGTTTATTTTATACGAATGTGGATGCTCTCTTATTTTTGTTTCCTTTTAATAAACATCACAAGTTGAAGAACATTTTCTGGAATTGCTCGCGTTTCAATACTAGTTGCTAGACTGTTTTTCCATGCTGTTCAGAAGAAACTAAAGGAGCTGGAGTGCCGCTACACAGGACTTATGACTTTTTTCTGAGGGCCGGTATCCTGCAGCTTTTAGATGTTCCTTTGGTTCAACACACCTGAATAAAGTAATTAGATGATTAGGAGACTCTGGAGGAACTGACTGCATACTGAGTAGGTAACTCAGCCATTTGATTCAGGTGTGTTGGATCAAGGTTGGATCTAAAAGTTGCAGGAACTGGAATTTTACAGCCCTGTTCTAGGGTGTCTTTCTTTGCCACTCTATCATTTAGACTGATCTAAATTATAAATTTGGATCAGTTCCTCGGGTTCACAGCTGTTAGATTTACATTTAGACTTCATTGTCATTTTGAATACACATGGTCAAGGGCGTAGGTTTGATTTTAACTTTGGTAGGGACACTATTGGTCTGGTGTCATTGGTGCTGCAATCTGCGTGCCCTTTTTTATGCTCGATGTGAGCATCCGTACTGATAAGAGGAATTCATTGTTAAAAGAGAAAAGCATCATTTTGCTACATTAATACATTTTTTAAAAGCACTACACTCATTAGATGCTGTTAATCAATGTTTGAAGTATCACCGGCTCTGATGAATGTGGAATTAGGACTGTTTTCCACTTTGAAAATGGTTTCATTTGAACGACTAAGAGAGAAGGTAAATACAGTATTTTCTTTTGAAGATATAGAATTGTGCAGAGTTAAACCCCACTCTTATATTTTACCTACTATGCTCTCTCTGTATCCAGCAAAATAATACATTCATTAAAATATTAACTTTATTATAAAAGTGGAACATCTGGGCTGTAGTTACTCTGTATAGCCTATTTCATGTATTTCATCTGGGGCTGAAAAAATTAATCATATTAATTGATTATTTCAATAATCGTCAACTAATTTAGTGAGTGATTCATCATTAACTGGAGAATAGAGACTATAAAATATAATATAAATGTAAAATGTCCCTTTCCCCTACAGAGCAATCCACTTAGATCAGTAATTATACAAAAATTGTAAAAATACAATATATATATATGTATGTATGTATGTATGTATGTATGTATATATATATATATATATATATATATGTATAATATATAAGATTAAAAAAAATTGTCTGTCAATATTCTTCATCCAGAACTCCTCATGTGGAAATATTTTAGTTTCACCTGGTTTATTTAGACATCACCTGAAGCACTGAAGGGCAGCTGCTTCACCTACAAGCTGCCCTGGATCTTTATTACTGCATATCTGTGTTTCCTATAATCATATAATGTATAAGTGCATTTTTAATAGTAAAGGATTAAATGTAACACAACCTTTTATCATCGTCCTATATTGCTTACTGACTGACTGTTTAAATAGCTCCTTATGTCCATTTTCTTTTTTTGTGGCATCATCTATAAAGCAAAACACTGAGAATGAGCCTAAGTTTATTCAAATATAAAATAATTTTTAACAATTATAAAAGACAATATAACACTATCTTATCTGTAATGTAATAATATCCAAAATAAACAGCCAGATTCAAGCATTTTTACCAGACATTAATGTTTGTACTAATTTACTTATAAACTGTGTGGAAATCTATGTAAGATAAAATCAATGTTTATATTCTTCCTTTGTTTGTTCTTGTCTTTATCCTATTTCTAGAAGTAGAAATAGTCAATAAAATAGAACTATTATTATGTGGAACCCTAATTATGCTTTTAAACGAAAAACAGCAGATGTTTAGCCACCATTTCTTGTTGTTTTCCTCTATAAGAGAAATAACACCTGCTAATAATTATACCTGAACTTTCTCAAAGGGTCATAAAAAATGAAAACAGTAATAGCAACTAAATATCGGTAAAAAGGAAACCCTCACATTTCCTTTTTTAGTTGGCTGTGGATAAGAATCAGAAATGTTGATGGCTTACAGCCTTTATTTGCCCATTTTGTGTCTTCAGAACTCCTGGCTGACTCAGAATATTTCGCTTTATAAAAGAAAAAAAAAAGGTTTTTGGTGTACATGATATTCATTTTTTTTTTATTGGGACTAGTTTTGTAGCCTAATATTTATTGTAGTAACCGCAGCATTCTAGTGTGAATACATTTTCAATGTTGTGCTCCAAGCACACCAGGACTAGAAAACAGCCAATCAGAGAGAGAGAAGGCGGAACCTAAGGCAGAACAGCCAATGAGAGTGGAGTTAAACAGCGCAGCACAGCTCCATGCGCTGCTGCGTGAAAGGGAGAGGAGAGACCAGGCAGAGGAGCTGCGAGAGGAAAAGAAGCTGCAACAACTACTGCTGGAAATTATAAATATGTTGCTCACATCCAATTATTGGTAGGGACAATTAGGTCGGTTCAAAATTTTGGTAGGGACATGTCCCTATGGTCCCTATGCAAACCTACGCCCATGCACATGGTGTTTACCAAACTAACTTTTGTTCAGTACAACTCTCAAGACATTTCCGTTTCTAAAGTGCAGCGGTGATCAAATGTGAACATGGTATCGATGTTTCCCACCCTTTTCACTTTTGGAAGGGGGATTCATTATTTTAATAACACATGAACATTCAGATGACTGTGAGGTTTAGTCCAACCTGCTTGGTGACTCTGCTCAGTTCAACCGCGAGGTCTCCCCCAGAGTTTCCTATTCCAATCACTACTGCCTTCTTATTTCTCCATTCCTCTGGAGTCTTGTAGTCTCTGCTGTGGAAATACTTCCCCTTGAAAGTCTCGATGCCTGAGATGAAGAAGGTACACGTTTTACAGAGGCTATAAGATCGGTCGGCGCTCTCAGTGTTAATGTAGTAAACAATAATCACAATGTTCAGTAGAGAGTTTGCTCATCAGGATCTTTGACAGTGTACCAAAGGTTACTAGGTTTTACAATTGCACTTAACATGCAACATTGGTCCTTAGATAAAAACAAGGTTGTTTGTTGCATGTCCACTGGCTTGCAGAGATGTATAATAATAATGCTGGTTTCTGATTACAATTTATTACAGTATAAACACAAATTTCAAAGTATTTGTTTTGGATGTGGCAAACCAATGCTAAGCATTTAATAAATGCAAGACTTTCAGCTACAGTAGGCTGACAGGAAAAGGGGGTGTGAGAGAGGGGGAGAGACACGCAGCAAAGGACCACATGTCAGATTCAAACTCGGGTCGGCCGCGTCGAGGACTAAGGCCTCCGTACACGGGTCGCTGCTCCACCTGCACGCTCATCTAAATGAACTCTGTTGGTTATCGTCAAAAGGCTGCTGGGAGGAAATGTCTGTGACGACGCGAGTTTGTGCACATCGGATGCAGGGGCGGAGCTAGATGGGGGGCCGGGGGTGGCCATAGCCACCCTTAGCCAATCATTGGCCACCCCTGTGGCCACCCATACCATTTATTTCCCTCTAATACAGATGGTGGAAGCAGCAATAATTTCAAGTAAAATATTAAAAACATTTTAATTTTTCAGATATTAACAATTACTTGACAACAAAGAAAGTTTGGTTATTTATGCACATCAATATACTAACTATAAACCCTTTAAAGCCCGATCCAAGAAAAAAAACAAAATAGAAAATTACTTTTTCTTGGTTTGAATTCCTTATTTGCCCTTTTAACAAAATATGTAAAAAGAAAAAACAAATACATTTTTGATATTAATAATTTATTACTATGCGATAAGTCAAGATTATTTTTTGTGTAGTCTTCTACTGGCTGTTATCAGGTATATCTGATTGTGTACAACAGGATTTTGAGCAAAGTTTTTACCATTAAATTATGCAAAACATTTCAGAAACCGTACGTATCAAATATGATACATTTGGCATTATAGGGTTAAAGATGATAAGTAAAGAATTCATGGTCTTTTCAGAACTAGATTTTGTGTTTTATGGGGTAAAGAGAAAATGATGCGTCTCTGCAAGTCATCTGTTGAGTGAAATCACAGATGAATAAGTATTTCAATAAAAAGTTATTGAATAATAAATGTAAGGAGATATTAGTTCTTGTAAATATCAATTTTATGCAGAATGATTATTGATAAAAGTCGTTAAGCAATGATAATGGAAGAGATGTTTGCCCCAGAACTCAAACCTGAAAGAATTGTCTCCTCTATACCTTTTATCTAGAAAGCACAGATGTTTAAATATATGTGTTTATTTGTTAGGAAAGGCTGTTGGAAAGTATAGTTTGTCTTTATTTAGAAAATATGGATATTGTGCATGTTAATTTTCCAGTAGGAACAGTGTAGATTAACCCTGAGGTTCTGGTGCCTATCTCAGTCTACATTGCTTATTGCCTGGCAACGCGTATACAAATGTTCAGGCTACGCCTCTGATGGATGCAGCAGTCTATCATTGAAGGAGCTCTCCAGTTCTGCTACAGCTTTGTGAATGGAGAGGATAGAGATGTTATTTCTGCTTCTGCCTCACACCATCTGGACTGGATTGAAGCCCCATCCTGCCATTCCTTCCTGTTTGAACTTATTCAACCTTTCGGCCGTTCAATAACCAAACCCCATCACACACAAAAACTCTTTTCACAAAATAAATGTACTTTAAAGGAAACTTCTTACACTGAAATGTATTTGTTCAGAGATAAAAAAGCAAACAGTGTAAAATGTAAATGCATTTTGGTTGCAACAAAAAACTAAAAAAAACTTGTCTCCTTTTCATTTCATCTCACAATTATGCACATCTTTGGGCTGAACTATCACCTAAAATACATTTAAGTATGTTGTTGTAATGTGAGCAAACGTGAAAACCATCAAGTGTTACCTGGGAAATCATGGAGGGGCAGGTTAGGCTGGCAGTGATGTCCAATGCAGATCATTACAGCATCAAAAATGTGTTTCTCCCTTTTGCCATCCTTGTTCTCCGTTTCAACATCCCACTGACCAGAACGCGAAAAGTCGGATCTCTTCTTTATGTTCAGGACGCGGGTCTGCGACACACATAGACAGAAACAGTCAGCTGAAGAGAAGATCCACATTTATGAGAGAGAGAAGGTTGGCGATGTTTCCTTACGTTAAAGCGGATGTGTTTGGCGAGCTGGAAATGGTTGACGTACATCCGGAAGTATTCCATAATGAGGGAGTTGTGCATGAAGTTTGGGAAGTGTGCAGGGATGGGAAAGTCACTGAAGCACATCATCTCTTTGGAGGTGTTGATGATGACAGAGTGGTAGATGCTGGCCCGGTCCGGCTCTGGATTCTCCTGCAGGGACAGAAAGCAGCGATTCAAACATATCTGAAGCCTACAGTGCATAAATAGGTGCATCTCAACTTAACAAAACAAAACAACTAATTTATCAGATTCATTACACATATACCAACATATTTAAAGCATTTATGTAAGGTTTCCAGAATATTGGAAATTGTACAGTTGTCCACGTACCAGAGATGGGGGATGTGGAGTCAGTAAGTCATCTATATGTGATATAAGGTATTTTCCAGTCTATAAAGCGCACCTCACTATAAGCCGCGCTGATGGATTTGCTCCGCATATCCATCTGGAAACCTTCCGTTGCAGTAATTTTGGGAAGGGGTGAAAATACTGGTTAGCTGATTGGCCTATGTTGGTGATAGACGGGCCAAATAAACCAATCAGATCAACGAAGCATATGACGTACTAACAGAGCGACGACGAAGAGGAGCCAATTGATAGATCAAACTCTTGGTGAAACCAGTCGAGAGAAGAGCAAAAACATCTTTTCCTCTGAGAAAAGCCTCCAGAGCAGTGTTTTGCTCTTCTTTCAGTGAAGAAATACTCTGTAATTCCGATAAAACTTGCTCGATAGCCACGCTAACGCTAGTTTCATCGGCTGAAGCCGCCATGTTCTTTAGACTGAACTGTCGCGCTTCTCGTTGCGTCACACCTCAACCCGCCTCAAAGCCAACGCTGATTGGACGTTCGTTTGGTGAACGGCTCCAAATTTTCTTCAACGGAGAGTCTCCAGACTGACTAGCGAGTGAAATCTTGAAAGCTCGCGAGATCAGGATGGTCTCACGAGGCTAGCATGTTTTGGCTTTGGGTGCAAACCAACGCACAGAGCTACAAACTAGCGTCCTGCACGGTGTCTGGGATAGTGTCTGAGGACCGCACTACAGCCAGAGCTTCTGCCATTAGGAACAAAACAGAATTTACGCATAATGTAGAGCGGATGTAGAATTGACCAATCAGAGGCCTCCTTTCTTTCCTCCCTTTGCAGCACTGTCTGCGGTCACCTACAATTTTGGGGAGGTGCATCAGAGTGTCTCTGGAAGTAGTGGGGAAATATCTGCGTTAACTGCGACACACGCAGACGACCTGGTTTCTGTGCATAAACCGGGCTTAAGCCGCACGGGGTTATAAACCACTGAACCACCTACTGAAATGTTCCACAACAAACCTCTAGAGGGAGCTCTACATATAGCCCCTGGAGTAGGGATGAAGGAGAATGCTGGCAGCAGTAAGAGCTGTCACTACCTGATCTGTCCTGGAAGCACGATCCGTCCCATCAGCTCAATTGCAGATGGGCAAACAGATATAAATCCAGGTTTCCATAAATAATGTAATTAAATTGCTTATTTCTATCCTTAACTCACAAAAGAATACTAATACACATCTTTAAAAAATGTTTTATGACTTTTCCGAGACAATTTTGATGCTTTTAACATTTTCTCTGTCTGACGTCATCATCCAACATGCTCAGAGCAGTCCGTTAAAATATGATTAAATTATCTACATTTTAGTTGTTTCTTTCTCTAGTTCACGCATTATATACTGGTGAAGATTCTCAGACATCCAGGTCATAGTCATTCCAAAACAGTTCAAACATACCATTGTACAAACCTACAATAAAGCAATTGAGTTGATTCCTTCCTTATTTGCAGCTTTAATGCTGCAAATAAATGTTAAAATCTGTAAATTCGGGTCATTTGTTCTCCACCATGCTTGCTGCTAGCATGTTCTTGTGCTAAATGAAAATTAGCCACTTATTCTTTCATAAGCAACTTTGACTTAGCGGTTAGGAGAAATCCACTGAAAAGCAGCACCTTCTTCTAAGCCGCATGGCTCAATGTGTGGGGAAAAAGTAGCGGCTTACTGTCTGGAAAATACAGTATTTGCTGTGCTCAGTCCCTGAACCAGGTGCCTCCCATCTGCACAGGTTAATTCACTGGACTGATCAATGCATGTGCTCAAACTACTGTATTTAATAGTGGCCTTCATCTTGTCTGGATTGTCTCTCTCTCTAGACAATACTACATAGATTATCTATGAATTAATATTCATAATCAGATTGTTGGCTTCTGGTACCTTTGGCAGTGGGGCTATGTGCCACATCTTACTGGGAAATTGTATTCCAGGACTTTAAAGCAAAAACCTTGATCAGGCTTTGCTTCAGTCCTCCAAGGAATGTGCATGTCATCTGTGCACCTTTTGCTGCCATATTTTTTCCTTCCACTCAACTTTCCAAATGTTGGCTTAGATACAGCCCTCTCTGAACATTCAACCTATTTAACGATTCATTTCTGTGGCATCACTTCCTCATGGCTCGTGTTGAAGACCACTGGAGCTAAATGCTGGGCAGTCCTGATTGGACGTTTGGTCTGAACCCTTGGGATATACATTGCTTTCTGTCTTATGGACCCTTTAACTATACAATTACTGACGTTACTGAATAAAAGATAATTAAAAATCCACACTGTTTGATACGGAAAAATAAAAGAAGTTAGTTGATCTTTTAATTTTTTGATTTCAGATTATAATAGGGAAAAGTAGAAGAATTCTGACTTTAATCTCAGAATACTTCTGAAATTAAAGTCAGAACTCTGAGATTAAATGTATAGTTCTGAGATTAAAGTTATAGTTCTGAGATTCAAGTCCGAACTCTGAGATTAAAGCTATAGTTCTGAGATTAAAGCTATAGTTCTGAGATTAAAGCTATAGTTCTGAGATTAAAGCTATAGTTCTGAGATTAAAGCTATAGTTCTGAGATTAAAGTTATAGTTCTGAGATTAAAATCCGAATTCTGAGATTAAAGTTATAGTTCTGAGATTAAAGTCAGATTTATGAGATTAAATGTATAGTTCTGAGATTAAAGTTATAGTTCTAAGATTAAAGTTATAGTTCTGAGGTTAAAGTTATAGTTCTGAGATTCAAGTCCGAACTCTGAGATTAAAGTTATAGTTCTGAGATTAAAGCTATAGTTCTGAGATTAAAGCTATAGTTCTGAGATTAAAGCTATAGTTCTGAGATTAAAGCTATAGTTCTGAGATTAAAGTTATAGTTCTGAGATTAAAATCCGAATTCTGAGATTAAAGTTATAGTTCTGAGATTAAAGTCAGATTTATGAGATTAAATGTATAGTTCTGAGATTAAAGTTATAGTTCTAAGATTAAAGTTATAGTTCTGAGGTTAAAGTTATAGTTCTGAGATTAAAGTCAGATTAATGAGATTAAAGTTATAGTTCTGAGATTAAAGTCAGATTAATGAGATTAAAGTTATAGTTCTGAGATTAAAGTCAGATTAATGAGATTAAAGTTATAGTTCTGAGATTAAAGTCAGAATTCAGACTTTTGTCCAATATTAAACTCAAATGAAATGTAAATAATCTGTAATCCTGCTCTGTAGTTTGGCGACACGCGGGTCACCGTGGTGTAAAATCAAGCAGAAGTTAAAGCAGACCTTAAACCTCCAGAGGCCGCCGATGTCATCGCTGCTCTCGAAGCAGACGGGCTCCAGCCCTTCATCCAGGCAGCATTTCATGCAGACCAGCCCCGAACTCCCCGCTCCCACCACGGCCACACGACGACTCATGCTTCCACCCTGCGAATCAGACCAAAACAGTTTATTGTGCAGAACATCAGCAGAGATCAGAGCAACAAGCCTCACTTTAAATCTGCTTTATCTGATTAGATCAAGATCATTTACTCATAAAGCCAATCGAAAGCCGCACATGCAGCCTCACATCAACTGCTGATTAAACGATTAACAACACAGGGTTATTTAAAACCAGTGAATAAGACTTAGAATTACTTTCTATCTAATGGAAACAATGCAGACCGCCCCCCCCCCTCTGCAAGCAAACCGAGAAAAACAACAGGCGCTGATCTCAACCTTCAATGCTGCGTTTTTAATTCCTACAGAAAAACATCCAACTCCTCTAAAAGTGAGTAAAAGTGACTAAATGTGATCAAATCCTAACCTCTGGCTCAGCTTTCTGCTCCTGGAGGAAAACAGCCTGCTTGGTATTTGTGTGAGTGAGCAGTGGGAGGAGCTCAGACTGAACCTTGCTTCTTTCTCTGCAAAGGGAGGAAAAGTAAACAGACTTGCGATTAATGCTGCTACATTTAACAATCATTAAACCAGCAGCTGGACAATCCCAGCTCCTAACAGCCATTTTGCTCTGGATCATAGAAGTTTTAAGTCTATTTTTGGATTTGGATCAAAGCACACATAAAATATGACTTGTTATTTTGACACTGTATGATCTCTTTACAAGTAAAAAAAAAAAATGACATTGTAAAAACTATAGAGTATTTGATTATTTAAGCCCTTCAATTATGTTCTGATTCACCAGGAATAATAAACAACATAAAAGGGAAACAAATCTGATGTTGAGGAAAACGCTGCATTCAGGTATTTCTGAAATGTTCAGTCAGATTTCTGCACCTATTGATGGTGTGTTGGTGAAATGTTCACCAGCGAGGTGCTCTAATGTGTCTAAGACTGCTTTGTTTGATTATCTTTAAAACCACAACTCTATATCAATATTTAAATTTACTGAAACGTTAGTAAATCTTTCCTATTTTGTAGTTATTTGAATTTGGAATCCATTTTCTGATTGCCAGTCTAAAGAAGGAGAGGAGCAAAGAGGAGCAGAGGAGCAAGGAGGAGCAGAGGAGTAAAGGGGGAGCAGAGGAGCAAAGTGTGTGCAAAGTGAAAGGTCAGGAAAAACCAGCAGCTGTTAAAGTGGCAAAGAAAAACATTTCATTCAGTCGATTATTTTACATTTATCATGGAAGTCATTTTGGCACAAAAGAGAAAACTCACTTCATGAAAACTGATTCAAATGTTTCCATGAAATTAGTTGATTTAAAAGCTTTAATTGGTTGGAATATTCTTCTAAAAAATGCTGCTTTTTGCTTTGCTTGTTAGGTTTTTTGCACACGTCTCAGATACGATGCATTAGTGAACGATGGAGTCAGTTATTAGCAAAATGCACTGAACAAGTTATAAAAATATGTTTAGAAAACAGTGAAATGAATCATATCTGTCCAGACAACTTTCTGGGGGCTCTGGTCCAAATAAAAGTGGTTTAGAGCCCCACATTTTACACAAACCTTATTATAAAACACACATTATCAATTCTAAAAATATTTGCTATAGGAAGTCTGTAGATATTTATCTGTTTTATATGATTTGAAATTAGGAAAATCATAAAAATCAAGATTTTTTTTTAAAAGGATGTCAATTTTTGTAGAAAACTAAATAAATTAAAAGACTGTTTGTAAGCAAATGACATAAAGATTTTAAAACATGATGTCAGAAATTGTTGAGAAAAAATTGATAAAGTTGAATTGAATTAAAAATTGAATTACAGCTTTCAAGATGGATGTTATATAATATAATATAATGAAATATAATAGAATATAATAGAATAGAAAATCCCTTTGTTGTCCCACAATGGGGAAATTCCAATGTTTACAGCAGCAAAAAAATATAGAAAAATTGTCACACAAATGTGGAGCTTAGAAAAAAATTATAAGAATAACATAATAGTGAAGAGTTAAAAGATAAAAGATAAAGGATAAAATGCTGTACTGTTGTGTTATGGACATTTTAACAGTACTGGATATTTAAAAAATAGCAGCAACATCAGAGATGTGCAAAAAAAAAAATAGCAGCATGTTATTTAACTGACTGAGACAGAAAGTGTGCAAAATCAGCATTAATGAAACAACCTATTGAAGATATTGGGAACAGTGGTGGTTATAAGGTCTTACTGGTTATTAAAATATATTTAAAATCTTTAGCTAGGTGTTTATCATTTTACGCACTTTTATAGCCTCTATAGAGCAACCAATAGATTATAAGAAAGTGTAGAACACTGACATTAAAGAAGGGAGATTAGGTTAGATTATCTGCTAAATTTATAGAATTGTTCAAATTGAGTTTCTAACCATAAATGTTTATAAAAAAAAATCATAAAATAACCACAGAGTAAACACAAGGCTTTTCTGACTCGTATAAAGTCTGTAGCTCAAAGGTCTTTGAATGCATCTCAAGTTTGAAAGTCTAAGTATTGTTGCATAACTAAACTGACAGCCTCCATTAATGATTAGAAAGCAGGGGGTGTGGTGGGGTCTAGCCCATTTACCTTGGTCCTACAGGGCCGTCACGTCCCAGTCTGCTGACCTTTACCTCACATTCCCCCGCCTGCCTTAACCCCCCCATCCTGTCAGCTGACTCAAATAAAGACCATATCTTTAAAAACATTGTGATTCATCAAGAGTATTATAGCGGATGCTGCTTTAAAGATATGCTGGTAAATAAAAAATAAAGAAAATTCCATAAAATAATTTACTTTTTTTTTCTTAAGCACTACAATAAATTCGCCAGCTCTTCATTTAAATCATAAAATATAGTGTTGCTTTTGTTAAAGAGGAAATTCCAACTCCAGACTTCATTAAAGTCTTTAATATTGTGCAGGAGTCCTTCAGCACCGTTACTTTAATTGCCTGGAAAGGCCTTGAATACACAGCACTGATCTGAGCAGAAAAACTAAAAAATCTGTAGAAATATCTCTTTGGTTTTCAAGTTTTTCAGTAATGCAACATATTCTCACTATACGAACTCATAATGAGAATACACTGAGTAATAAGGTTCCAAACAGAAGGCTCAGGTGCCTTTTAACCAATATCTATAAACCTTCCACACTAGAACATACATCCAGTGGGTTGCAACAAATGATTATTTTTCACATTGATTAATCTGTCAATAATTTCTTTCGATTAATCGATTAATAATCGGATAGACTAAGGAGATTCTTTACGAATTTAAACCAGTTGAAACTAAAAGTTTTCAACTTGAGGAGTTTTGGATAGAGCACATAAAAAGACAAAAAAGTTTTTTTTTTTTTTTTTTACCTTAAATACAAAAAATTATATATATATATATATATATACCGTATACACAATCTTGGTATAATTCCTGCTCTTAGTTTGCTCTGTTAACTAAAGGCATATTTTACGGTCTCTAAACTCCAGATAACGATTAATTGATTACCAAATTAGTTGACGTTTATTTCAATAATTGATTAATCCGATTAATAGTTTCAGCCCTAACATTGTCAATTGATAAAGGTGAAGGAGTTAGTTTCCACGCTCTGCAGCACTTTTTTAAAATTTTGTTTTTCTATACACCCGTCACATCATATTTCTGTGCACTACTTGTAAAATTGTGCTGAAAAGAATAAGAATCAGAAATACTTTAAAGATCCCAGGGGGAAATTATCTTTGTTACATGATGCAGGTATACGCACAACATATTAATATATATATACAACATTCCACACTAGACATATAAATATAAACATATGTAACTATATATATTTATATATATTTACAAATCTAAAATAAAGTGACAGATGGAGTAATGTAACTAAAGTAATCCCTTCCTGGGATTATTAAAGTATTTCTGATTCTGATTCCTGGTTGATGGGACAGGTGTTGTGAATGAAACGGTGCCCAGCTTGAAAGAGCTTCTGTGTGTCGCTGAATGTGAGCATTGATGACTGAAAGACATCTTCTGCCTCCATTTATCTGTTTACTACAGTGGGTTGAAGTCATGTTAATGTGGATTTAAAGAAATTTCAATAAGTGGTAAAAATTGCAGGGGGGAATATAACAAAAAGTCTAATCAACCAAATTCTTCGCAACCCCCATGCAGTACCTCCGTGGACCCCCTAGGGCTCGCGGACCCCCTGTTGAAGACCTCTGGCCTAGATTATACAATAGGAGGCGTTCGAGGATGAACTTTACACAAATCATGTTTATAATAAATATACGTTCATTTTGTTGATTTGACTGGAAACCATAAAGCAAAATGCTGACAAATGACATTTCAGGTGAGTTAAAATGTCCTAAAAGGTAATAATCTGTCCTGTAGCTCTGACACCAGGTCAAACATGTCCATGGTTTAGTTTCACATACAGAAAGGAAATGAAACAACTAATGAAAGCCATAAGTTACCCGATCCACCCCTTTTTCTATTAAGGTCCTGAAAGGCCATAAAAGATAGAAACTTGCAGTGATTTAACCACATAATATGAAGCCATAATGCCTGCATTATCTCTGCCCCCCAAACACCAGCTGCCATCATTTGAGCCCACTGTGGAAACTTCCCAAAATATTTAAGGAGAACTTAAGGAAACTTCTGAACTTTTTTTTTTTTTTACATATTAGTTTTAAAATATAAAAATCTCTAAATTAAATAGGCATTTAGAAAAAAATATCTTTTTACCCTGGCAGGTTAACAGAAAAGTAGTCAAAGGTCAAATCATTGACTTTTACATGCATTTACCTCATTTATGATGTGTCATGTTGGTTTTTAGTTTATTGACCCACATGCAGAATCACACAGAGAAGCAGTGAATTTCCACATTTTATTTAGAAAAAGCAACAAGAATGACATTTCAGATGAGTTAAAATGTCCTAAAAGGTAATTATCTGTCCTGTAGCTCCACCACCAGGTCAAACATGTTCATGGTTTAGTTTTACACACAGAAAGGAACTAAAACAACTAATGAAAGGTTTCAGCCAATCCACCCTTTTTCCATAAAGGTCCCAAAAGGCCATAAAAGGCAGAAATTGCAGTGATTTAACCATATAATATTCAACTGTTTTTCTGTGACCTCTCCCCTCGTCTTCTTCTTGACTGAGGATCCATTAGCCAGGCTTAAAGAAATTAGATTAACTTGGTTCTATCAAACCTAGCTCTGGAATACCTACATCTGGAATTTTGCTTAAACTAGAAAAGATACTTTTAATATGTTACCTTTAGAGAAGTACCAAATCTTTGCAATAACACACTGTAGAGTTCTTGGTTTATTTTGATGTATATTTTTCGGCAGAAATTGGCTCTAAAACCTCCTTGCTTTACCAGGTTAAATCCTCATTGCCAGCACCTTTCAGCCTGATGTAAATACATCTGCCAGCACAACTCATCCTAATGCCCTGATTTCTTTGGGCTGGTTTGGGCAACAGGGTTCATCTGCGTTGCTTTGTCAATCTGGGTCTAATGGACCAAAAGACGCTGATCCCTGATCCATAGCATGCGATTGTTGACAGCAGCAGCCCAGTCGAAGCATCTGCAGGGAGGCGTTTTGTTTCTCAGTTAAGATTCCTGTGGATCAGGGGTGTAACTTTGTGATGAAAGTTGGTGGGGACAGTCTAAGGGTGGTGGATCTACAGTTACTCGACATAAACTCTTTCAATAGGGTTTATATTTTCCAAAATTGAGCTCAAACATATATTTATTGAATGCTTTCCTATTGTTGAGAACACAAAATACACTGATTTTTATATATATGGGTGGTTAGACTTACTAAGACTTAGACAGACTTTATTATAATTTTGTACACAAAGATTGTATACAAAAACAAATTTCATTAAGTACAGCTCTCAAGACATTTTCATGGCAGCAGAGATAATGTAAACATACGACTGTATGTTAGTTACAGTTCCAACATTCAGGGTTTTTTTTTTTTTTTTTTTAGAAAAAAAAGTTAGACATTGTATTAAAAAAAGGGTAAATAACAGCCGATTCTAATGCCAACAGCAATATATCATGCCTCCCTATTATAAACACAATTTCAGTTTCATTCATCCATCCATCCAGAAAGATGGGGATTGGTGGATGGATGTTTTCCCTTTCAGCTACATCAGTGATTATTTCCCTTCAAAAGCAACAAAATCTAATTTAGAAATTTGTCCCACATATTGTTGAGAGCCAAAGTCTATGTACTGAAATCATTGGTGGGGACGTGTCCACACCAGTCCTTCATAAAGTTACATCTGGGCTGTGTATCATCTCTCTTTATAATTCCCCTGATCTACTTGTTGTCCTCCATTTCCAGCTCCAGATGTCATTCTCCACCCTCCCCTCAGTATTTCAGCTGGTTTTTATTCTTCCTCTGTGTTTCTGGTCTCATTTTCCTTCTGCCTCTGCGTCTGCTGCTTCTTTTAGTGATTAAATCCTTTTACCAGGCTGCTTCCAAGATCAGGTCCATGTTTTAATCCTGCTGCAAACTCGCAATACATGACAACTACATCCTGGATAACCCCAGTCGGCCTCGGCAGATGGACGCTCACACTGAGCCTGGTTCTGCTGGAGGTTTCTTCCTGTTAAAAGGGAGTTTTTCCTCTCCACTGTCGCTACAAGCATGCTTAGTGTGAGGGATTGCTGAAGAGTCAATGAGTCGATGCAATCAACTGGTTTTCCTTAGATAGAAAACTTTGTATCAATTTGACTGGATGATCTGGTTGAACTGTAAAGTGCCTTGAGATGACATGTGTTGTGAATTTGGCGCTATATAAATAAACTGAATTGAATTGAATTGAAAATTGGACAAATTATACAACAATAAACTAAGCTGAACATATACAGGATTTTTATTTTACAATTTTAATGAATGAGACTCTCCTGTTAGTTGAGAGATTTAAAGTTATTTTAATTCATTTGTAGATGTTTTAATAAACAACGCAGCGTAATTGTTGTCCCTGAACCCACCTCTGATTTCAGCTACTTGGATGTCCCCTCCCCTCACAGACAGGAGAGTGTTAAATATTTCCAAGACAAATTAATACATGCTCACGCTTTGACCTTTGAACTATTGCACTGAAAACTGGTTCAATACTGGAAACCTGATTAATTGTGCAACAGAGTTGTTGTGAAGACCTGCAAAGGCGTATGATGCACCTTAAGTCCAGCGATATTATGAACGTTTCTCAAATTAACACAAACAAGAAGAACATGTAAGCTCCACATATTGTTGAGGTGTTATTGTTTTAACCATTTTACGACTCTTATCTTTTAGATGCACAGTTTTGCTTGAAAGTTTACAAACGCTGTTTTTAAAGACTGGCAGTGAAATAAATTGAATTAGACAAAAGTAATAATAAGAAATATAAAAAATGGAGATCATGACAATGGATTTGAATATAGTGTATGAAAACACATTTATATATATATTATAGTATATATAGAATATTATAATATATATAAAACAAGTAAACCTGAAGTGAAATTTTGCTGAGCAACACTTTGAAGCAGCAATCACAGAAATCAGGTGTTTTCTGTAAGACATGGGAAATGTTCAGTCAGATTTCCGCACCTGTTGACAGGTATGATGGTTCACTGTTCATCAGCAAGGTGTCATGATTTAATTCTAAGATCTGACCCACATGCAGGAAACCAAACAGAGAGACCAGGGGAAGGTTTAACAGGTTTATTGAGAAGAGATGGGTCCTGTGCTGCTCTAAACACTGGCAAACCGGGAATGAAAAGTGAAGGGAAAGTTCCTGTGGTTAGTTCAGGCTCAGTGGGAAATTTGAGCTTCGATTTGCAAAAGGGAATAAAGGCAACGGGACTCAGGTTTCCAGTAAAGGTGTCTTTCTCTGAATTCAGTCGGTGTGGGTTGTTCCAGTAATTGAGTTGCTTGTTGGAGGGCGGACAGGGTTTACCCAGGTTGAGGTGTTTCCTTGACAAACGGAGGGCTGACTGGTTATTAGATTTCCTATGGTACTTCAACTGTTTCTTGTGGAGATGAATCCCCTGCTCAGAGAGAAGCACTAACAATCCCTTGGGGAAAAGTAGATCCAAACCTCCAGTTTGAATCCCCGCTCAGTTTGAAACTCAGACGATCCTTCCAGGGGCAGAAGGTCCAAAACATCCAGCTGGCAGGCTGACTTCCCAAAACTGGCAAACACTCTGGCGTCGAGGTAGTGGCAGTCAGCAGCTTAAGAGTCCTCCGGTAATGAGGCAACCATCCGCAGGTGTGTGAGAAGGCCAACGAGAACCAGGCGCCACCTGGTGGTGGAGGGAAAGACACAAAAACACAACCCACACAAACTGGATTCCTAACACAAGGTACTTTCATTTGTCTTGGACAGATTGTTTTCTTTTAATTATTTGTTTAAAGAAAAAATCTTAACCTTTTTTTTACTACATTATTATTTATTACATTTGGTTAAAACCTTGTTCGGTGTTGTGTTATTTGTTATCTTTTCTTCATTGCGAGGTATGTAAACTTTCAAGCACAGCTGTATGCAGTCAAACTGTGCATTATCCCATAATGCTGCTATATCCAATCACATAAAAATAATTAGCAGTGATTCTTGCCTGAGGTTCAACTCATTGCTGGATCCTCATTTACTCATAGTAACAAACTGTGACATGCAATGGAACCCCAAAGCCAATATACAGTAGTTTGATTTTTAGATTGGTATTTTTTATTTGATGTTTGAATAGTAACTGCAAACAAGCATAAAATAAGACAAACTCATGAGAAGCTGATCCGATTTACACTGCATTCTCTTTTAATGCACCTGCCTCTATGTTGTTTTTTTCATCTCCTACATGGTGATCAATTTAAACTAACTTTTTAGGCCAGTCTGTGGGCTTCTAGTCCCAAAGAAACCTGCTGCACCTGTCCAGCACCTGAGAAGCATGTTGGGCGAGTGGGACAATCTTATTTGACAAAAGCAATGCCATGACGGTAGTTGCTGCGCATGCCATTAACCAGGGAGAACGCAGCAAAGACCTCTGCGCCTCTGGCTCTTGTACCACTCTGGTTTTAAAAGGCTTAGCAACCCGTTCCCACTGTGTGAGGATAGCCTGTCTGGCTCCTGCCCACTGTCCGGGCCCAGTGAGGCGATACTGGTAGGGAGTGCAGGGACCAAAGAAGACCTTTACCCAGAGGACTGGGTCTGTTAGGAATAGTCTCAGAAGATTTGGTTTAACACCAATCTATGAGAGGAAAGGATATTATTTACTTGTCAGTGTCTGACATAAATGACAAAGTGTTTGGAGGTACTTACCTCGTTGGCCATGAAATCCAAGTATTGGATGAAATTCACTTGGAGAACAGCTTGTTGAGGATTAGGGTAGCTTTAAAAAAATCAGAAAGAAGGTTTAACAGAAATATATTTAACCTAAAATTCAGCTTTGATGATCAGGATGATGGTTACCTGTGAATGTTTAACCTCCTCTCGACCTCTATGGCTTCCAGCATTTTCTGCTTCGATGGAAGACGGGCGAAACCTAAAACATCAAACATACAATCTAACACTTCTGGATTTAACGACTCTTCAATGCTTTAAATTGTTATTCATATGTCTAGATTTTTTTAATATGTTGATTTCCTAAAACTACCTTTCTAAATGATCAGACACCAACTGAAAAAAGAGGAAACAGTGACTGTTTTAACAAGTGGTGTGCCGTTAGCGGCGTTAACGCAGCAAGTTAACACCAGACTCTTATCAGGCAATAAAAAAATATCGCCGTTAATCTTTTCTCACAGCTGGGTTGGAAACTGGGTCTATACTCATGATGACTTTCACCGATATTCTAGCACTGAGGTATATCAGGCACTGATTTTTATGATGAATGAATCAGTTTTCCAACCTGTGTAGGCTCTTTGTGAAATTACCAGATCGAAAGTGTCATTCTGACATGGATGCAGCTATAAGCACAGCTCTAACAGCCAAGCTAACCAATCTCCCGGCTCAGTGGATAGCCACAAGCTGCCAGCCCACAGCTGATTGGCTTTACCTCATTCTCCAGGCGGCCACAGGTGACCCATGTTACAAACTACCTGTGAGGCAAACTATCATGAGGAGAATATATGACCAGCACACCGCAGAGACTTTTAACAACACTTTATTTTGTTAAATGAGGAAGTTATGTCCCCTAAAAAGCTGTTGCGCCTCGGGACTTCCTCACGGTTCTGTTCCTGGGAGCAAGTTGCTTACTAATCTTAACTCAAACTGGGTAAAACCATATAAAAAAGGACTATAAAAACAGGAGTAAAAAAGTAACAGAGTTTATTCCAGATCAGGTCGTTACAGGACAGAGAAAATGCTTGGAGCTATGCACAGCTGTGGTCTCAAAAATCACGTCCGCAAGCGTCCGGCAAAAATTGAGCCCCGAACAAGGTCATCTCCTGCTTCTTATAGCTCATGAGTCTATGTGTTGCATCATGTGGATGTTTAGCTGTCCGTATCAGAAACTGACACGCCATCCATGTCTTGAACTTCATGCATCTTGCCTCTATGCCCAAGAATTACAGATAGCTCCCCTTTATCAGAACAACTCCAAGATGTGCCCATATCCTGTGTATCTTTAAAAGACAAGAAGGCTGTCTTATTTAGATGACCTCCGTACACACAGTGACATCCACAATGTGAAGGAAGGCCTTCTACTCTGTCTAAACTGGCTAACAGAATAACAATGCACATGATGTATAAATAATAAACCTAACAATTTACACAATTCAAAACATATAAACAATTGACATAAAACAGGTGTCAGTTAAAAATGTATTTGTAATGTAAAAATTAATATCTGCTTAAAATCATTAAATTAGGAGCTTGTTAACTTGTTTTTTCCTTCATCAGACAAAGCACATAAAATGTTGTTAAAACCCCACAGCTGAATAAAATCCTCCATGTTCTGTGTGGCTCTGTGGAAGTGAAACTCCAGCCTTATTCTGGCTTTAACATTGCACAGAGCCACGGCATCAAGGTGCGTTCCCTCCTGCAGTCTGCCATCTTTGCTTCACTGAAGAAACAAGCCAAAGGCTCTATTTTGGCAAACTCCTATAAAAAGAATGGCGCGGAAAAAGCCCTGAAGGATCAGAAATTGATCGAGGCGACGTGTGTGTCAGGTTTTTGGAGACATTAAATTGTTACAGTGGGACATCTATAATTGATAGTGGGACACTATTTTTTTGCAGAAAAAACACAGCCACAAATTAGCAAAAAAGTATTTATAACTTTGTCGAAATCTTAAGAAGACAAAATTAGCAAGGAATAATCAATGGATCATTATTTATACCTAAAACTAATATGTTCGTGGTGATTTAATGAATTTAGCATTAATCAGTTAATAAATGTAAATAATAATTCTCGCCATGATCACTGAGTCTGGGAGCGGCCATTTTTGCCCTAATATAGTAGCCCCTCCCTCCTGCCATCTTCCTGCAGTGACGTCACGGTTCGGGAAGCCTAGCTTCATGGTGTAATGGGGACCAGCAGTCCCATTACACCATGAAATATGATTATTGATTTTGTGTTATGTAATATTAAGTTGGAACAAATATTTGGGTTGTTTGAGTTCTTTATTGTATTTTTGTTTTTGGCATACATCCTTGTGAGGCAGGAGGACTGGCCATCCTGCCTGTGGAAGGAAGTGTAAACATTAATCTCAATAATTTTTCCTTAGTTTCTGGTCATGTTAAGTCAAAGTACCGACCTTTTCCTGGTTTGGCTCCTCAGTAGAGCATAACAGAAAAAGGTAGAAATGTTCCAGGTGCTGCAATGCACTTGGAGAACACCAAAATGATCAGGAGGGTAGCTTTGGGTGAGTTTTGTTAAGTTTGATGGAGTTTTTGTTATTGACTTGTACGTATGTAAATATTACTTTGGGTGTTTAGTTTATTGTTTGGTGTAGGTTTGTATGTGTATTAGGGATGGAACGGTTTATGAAAACCGTCCGAACCGTTCGGTTCGACAGTCTCGGTTCGATTCGCGTGTGTTTCGTTCGGTTCATGCGCTGCTCCTTTTTCTCATAGGCGAAGCGTTTACACTCCAGAGCAGAAGGTGGCGGTACTGCGACCAAAGCCAACCACCAGTAGTAAACAAGAAGAAGAAGCGAAGCAGCGTAGCCGGGTGTAGTAGAAAAAAATCAGTTGTTGTGGAGAATTGTGTGGGTATGGCGTGTGGGAAAGAACAGGAGTTGGAAGACGCGCCAGCAGCACTTTATAGGTCTGCTGTATGGGACCACTTTGCATTTAGAGTGACCTACGATGACGGCGAAAAGAAAGCTGTGGATAAAAGTGCAACAGTGTGCAAGCATTGTGCAACATGTTTTGTTTATGCTAACAGCAACACGACCAACATGTCATGCTAACCCCGAAATCCCTCATACTCCGTCAGCGCTCCGCCCCGCTGCGCTCCAGACCGGCTGCACAAAGCAAAGCCTACAGCCTCCGCTGTGGCTCCCGTCCGCTCCGCTCTGAGTTCCTTGGAAAACGTAGAGAGCATGCGCCAGATGATTAAATTGAAAGCAGCAAAACATACGGAAATGATCCAGGGTTTCCTCGGATCATTAAAAATAATTACAATTCATACATTTTTTGGGATTTTTTCATTAATTTCATTAATTAGTATGGGATTTCGGGGTAACAATCAACATATACCGAACCGAACCGAAAACCGTGACCACGAAACCGTGAACCGAACCGAACCGTGGATTTTGTGAACCATTCCACCCCTAATTTGTATTAATGTTGCTACTTTTTCGTAATAATTCCTTTTTATGGTTCCTTCCTTCATGTCACCTGAATTGAGTTTGGTAAAACATGCTGTTTGTTCTTTTTAGTATAAAAAGTTGTTGGTGAGCACAAGCTGGAGTTCAATAAAGCCACCAAAACGTCAATTTTGTCTTTTCTCTCCATTAAACATTGGACCTCCGCCGGTCAAAGTGACACTTGGATAATAGCACGTTGGGACAAACATCAGATGCCGCACTGGGACTTGATCAACAGCCGATACGCCACCGTAACGTCACAAACCGGTTCTTTGTTGTTTGACAAACATGGATGTCTCCAGTTAAGCACATTCAAATGAAATTACTCTTGAACAGTAAGTAATAATTTCATATTCAAAGTACTTTCAGAAGTTTGAATTCTGAATATGACCAGACCTTTCCTTTAAACTGTAGAGGCAGCACACACATATCATGAAGGCCTTTGGCAGAATTCAAATGAGAGATTTTAAACAAGATTAATTCTAAAATTACTGTGAGATTAATGTAACTTAATTCACCAATAAAAATATGAAAAATCTGACTATAATATTGCCTCTTTCCCTTTAGAACCACCTACTGATGCATTAATTGGCACTTGTCCTTTAGGGTATGTTTCCATCAACTTTGTGCTTCCTGAGAGTGAAATATCTTTTGGTAGGATGTGAAACTTGTTGCTGCAATTTGTCAAAATGTGAAAAGTTTAATTGGTAGGCTACATATGTGAATCAGTTTACTAACGTGGATGTAATGTATCTACCTGAAAACACCTTAACTGCCCAGCGAACCTGCATCTCCACAGTTGGCATAATTGGTCCCTTTGTTTGGAACAGACCCATGATGGCCAGCGTGGGATGTTGTAGAGACGGAGGAAACACTCGTCTAAAATTAGTTAAAAACAGTTTCTATGTCATTGTTCATCATATAAAGCTGATGATTCAGATAAACTGAATCATGCTGTTATAATGCTCTGTAACATTAAACACAGGGCTGTAAATGCGGACTTACTTGTACAACGTCAGCTCTTCCTGTGGTCCTTCGGACAGAGCAGAAGGCAAGAATGGGAAGACTCCTTTGTAACCTGTGCAAAAGATCACAGCATCGATGTTTTCTTCAACTGTGCCGTCTTCAAATATGACGCCTGAATCCTTGAACCCTCGGATCTTAGGCTTCATGACAAGAGCTCCGTGAAGAATCCGGCCTGGAAGATCATCGTTGATCAGAGGTTTTCTGTCCAATAGTCTGTAAAAGAAGAGGCACAGAAGAGGAGCTTATAGCTCAGAGGTAACCAATTAAAAATCAGTGGAGTCCGAATAAAGAAAATCAACAACCAGTAAAGGTCCGGAGACATTTTTAATTATAATCTGTTACTTTAAACAGAATTTAACACTGTAATAAAATGGGTGTTTACGTGGTGTTTATGCATCCATGTTATACGTTGACTTTTTAAATAAAAAATAGAAAAAAAGAGAAAAATTTTCAATTTTAAAATCTAGATTGATTTTGAAGTAGAAAACAAGAATCTTTCAGCTTGGTATATAGACAATTTCCCAGTTTCCTTTTTTTTAAATAAAACACCTGAACTGACCGTTTTTTTTTTCTTTCTTTTTTTATGGCCTAATAAGGGAAGTGGGCTTTATGCTGAGCTGCAAGGCTTTAAACCTGGGTTTAAATGGTGACAAAGCATTTTTTATTTATTTTTGATTCTGTTCATGGTGGAGAATCCTGCTTCACAGCAGCAGGTTGAGCCAAACATCCTCTAAATGTGCAGGGTCATCTTTGAGCACGCCATTTCACTTTTCTTTCACCAGTTCACCGCAGTTCTTCCAGCAGTCCACACTTTCTCTGCTCTCTTTTTCTCATGGTCTTCTCCTTCTTTCCCATCGCCCGGCTTGCCACAGGTTTGCCTGCTGTGTCTAAAAGTAGCAGCAGCAGCAACCCAGACTGACAGCTCATTGGCTCATTTGGATCACGTGCAGCCTGGAGCTGGACGCTCCCCAGGGCTTTACCGTATTAACAGGAGAAGCGGCGCAAGTGATATTAGATACTGCCGTCAGTAAACATGTCCGTCAGTTTGGGTCCAGCAGGTGGGTCTGGATCCGAGCCCTGTTTCACTAATCCGTGACCTCCGTTTCATGGCTGATTCTTCACAGGTTGCCATGACAATGTCTGGACATTTTGGGGGGAATTTTAAGTCTTCTCACCTCTTTAAAGTATATGCATCACTTTTTGCACATAGTGCATTCACACTAAAACCCCAGAGCTCTGCTGCATCAGGTGAGGCAAAGTTCAGCGGCTTCGCAGCAGAACCTCAATAGACACAGTCAGGCCAGGTGGCAAGAAAGGGTCAAGCAGGACAGTTTTTCTATTCTGTCTCAGAGGAGGTGGGATTGCGATGAAAAGACTTTACGTTCAGTTCTCTCTGAATCGTAGGCAGAAAGCAGCCTGCTTCCCCAGCGAACACTCTTCCATGCAGGGTGTGATTAAGTAACGTGGCTTCACCTGTAGAGTGGTGTGTCCCGCCTAACAGACCACAGGGAGAGAGGATGGGAAGAGTTGGTGCCGTGGTTTTAAAGGGACATGATGTCTGCTGGGCTTGGCACGCTTAGATCATTGATGTTTGATCTCCAACAATGCTAAACAAAGTTATCAGTATTGAATACAGCTCTAGTAGATTTCATAGCCTGGGACATGGCATAAAGCCTTAAGGGACTACTTTTGAGTTTTATTGACATCCAAGTTGAAAATCCAAATGGAAAAACCTGTTGGCAACCTACAGAAAGAAAGACTGAAGCAACGTCCCAGCTGGATGGGTCCTTCTATATTATGTGTTTAATTTGTACTCAAAAGTTAACATTTCTGACGTTTGCGTGGATATTTCATCTGGAATGACTGAGCAGGAAAGTCAGTGCAACAGTTTCATAACAGACTTCTGCATTCACATGACTGCTAGTTAACAGTTTGACTGCTCCTTATGTGCGTAACACTAAGTTAGTTGTTCATGCAGCATTTCTTCAGTTTCTTTTTTTTTCTAGCTTAGTTGTAACAAGATCAGATGTTTTAACTCTTTCCATAAGCCTAAAATACCATGAAGAAAAGTGTTTTTCACATTATGGTTAGAACAGCCGCGCAGTGACTAGCACTGCTGCCTTGCAGCAATAAGGTTCCTGGTTCGATTCCTGGTCTTTCTGCATGGAGTTTGCATGTTCTCCCCTTGGATGCGTGGGTTCTCTCCGGGTACTCCGGCTTCCTCTTACAGTCCAAAAACATGACTGTTAGGTGAATTGGCTTCTCTAAATTCTCCTTAGGAAGGATGGATGGATTGTAAATGGTAAGCCTCCTGACTTTTTCAAAGTCAGGAGACTTGATCAAAGCGCTTTTCACTATGAATGTAGTGCCGCCACACTCACACACTGATGGTGGCAGGCTACACTGTAGCCACAGCTGCCCTGGGGCTCACTGACAGAAGCGAGGCTGCGGTACACTGGCGCCACCGGGCCCTCTGACCACCATCAGTATACAATGCAGGTGAAGTGTCTTGCCCAAGGACACAACAACACCGAAAGTCTGAGCCGGGGCTTGAACCGTCAATCCTTTGATTTCAGGGCAAACTCCTACATCCAACACCCCCATCGGATGGATGGGTTATGACGGCTGCTGCAGTGGCCATACAGAAACAATAGAAAATATGAGCATGAAAAAGGAATCTGGAATGCTGCCACCTCAGAGATGACCTCAGCCTAACTTCCCAGTTCAGAGGCAATATGAACACAGAAACAAGTTGGAAAACTCTTTATTAGACCAGAAAATCTTCTTCTAGGCACCTCAAACATAAACCTTCCTGGATGATTCTTAAAGACATTTCTTTAAGATTTCTTGTTTCTTTCTAAGTTGTGTGTAGCTGGCATATCTATATCAATTTTTCTATTTTCTTTGGTTCATCAGCAGTAGGTGGAGTCTGATTAGTATTAGATTTTTCAGTGAAATCTTATGGAGATTAAATATAATATAGGGTATCACTGGAACAATATCTTTTTTTTTCTCCTCTACTCATCTATAAACGACTAAATGCACTGGAGTAAAGAGCCTAGCAATCGATAATAACGAGTTTTATCAAAGGGCGCCGTGTTTACCTGTGTCTGGGCTTCAGACCGTAGAGTCTATGGTCATACTTCTGGTTTAGTGCCCTCTCTGATGACCAGTTGATGAATGTCTTAGGGAGCAGCTTCAGTAGGAGGCTGTTGAATCTGGAGATAAGTGTCATATCCAGAGGAAGGCCATTATGAGCCATTCTGCTAATCACCCAGACCCCTTCCCTTACACTGAGAAATGTCTGAAAAGGGTTGAGAAACGTAAAAGTGGAGGTTCATAGTTAATAAGGTCGTCTCTTTAGCTTCTCAAACAACATGGCAGGTCTCCTGTGTGTCATTTACTCACCTTCTCTGCAGACCTGCTAATCTCTACTGCAACATCTCCCCCAGAGTTACCAATGCCAACAACCACCACCCTTTTCCCCTTAAAGGAATCTGCATCTTTGTATTCCCAGCTGTGAAGAAGCCTGCCAAAAAATGTTTCATGTCCTGGAAAATAAATCATCACAGCACAGCTTAAAGCAAAAGAAATTCTCTAGTCTTTAGTTTTTAACCAATCAAGTTGATTCTTCTGATTACCGTGAAAGTCAGACAGAGGTAAGGCTGGATGGGTATAGTGTCCTGAACACACAAGAACTGCATCAAATATGTGTTTTTCTTCCTGATTGTTTTTGTTTATGGTCACTACATCCCACTGACCAGATCCAGAGAAGTCTGGCCTCTGTGTAACACTCCTCACTGTGGTCTGAGGTTTGCACAGAAATGCAAGCAGTAAGGTCAAGATACTTTACCTTTTACTAGAAAAATGTTAAGAAAAAGCAATGATGAAAGAGAAAGGAACCTGGAAATGAATGTGTTGGAGCAGGTGAAAATGCTCAGCGTAGAGCCTGAAGTACTGCAGCAGCTGGGAGTTGTGCATAAAGTTGGGATAGTCATCAGGCATGGGGAAATCACTGAAACACATCATCTCTTTGGAGGTGTTTACCACCAAAGAGCGGTAGATGCTGGATCGCTCTGGTTCCGGTGACTCCTGCAGGCTCAGAAAAACAAAGCTAGACTTGATTAGAAAAGACTGAAGGCAAACTGGCATCCATTGAACCTTTACAGCGTTTTTCATGTTAAAAACAAACGTTTGTGTTTTATGACGATTTAACGTGACAAACTGACACACAGAAGTGAATATTTCTGGAGTGTAAAGAAAGTGGTACGATTACAACACTTTTAAAAATAAAAAATCTGAAAGGTGCGGTGTGCATTTGCACTTAAGCCCCTTTGCCTGCAACTGATCCCCTTCAATAATATCCAGAACAACTGATTGCCTTCAGAAATAAGTTAATATTCCAGCAGTTTGGAAGAAGGAGCTCTGGCTGAAATACAACTAATATTGAATATTAGTTTACAGAAAACTAGATGGAGCTGACAGCAGGAAGTTCCTGTTAGAGAAGCTGCTTAAGATTGCAAAAGGAAATGACTTTAGCATCCAAGACAACAATGACTATGAAAAAAAGGCTATAGATCTACAGATGTTGACATTAATTTGTAGGTCTGTATGCTTCAGTCAAAGTCTACACCTTTATTAAATTCAGAATCAAATTCGTTTTTCAACCACTCCAGTTTGGTACCACTTTGTCTTGATCTTCTCAATAAAATACTGATAGAAATTAAGTTTTTGAGTTGCAGTAAAACAATATGCAAGAAGATCATGGTCTACAAGTATTTTCACAAGGCACTGTGGCCTTGCACCATCTCCACCATGTAGACAAGGTTTGCTCATCTTTCATAAACTTGGGAAACAGCTTAAATGAATCCATAAAAAAACAAAATGTTCCTACTTTAAATTTCCACAGACCACCAATGTCGTCACTGCTTTCAAAGCAGACAGGCTCCAAGCCTTCATCCAAGCAGACTTTGATACAGGCCAGACCGGAGCTTCCTGCTCCGATGACAGCAACACGTCGAACCATCACTGAGGAGAAACAGAACTGTCACAGGTTCTACTTTGCAAAGAAAAGATTCATATTTGCAGTACAAAGTCACCTATATAGATGTAAATATTTTGTCCATTTGAAATGTGTTAAAAACAGCTGAAATGGCAGAGAAATGGAGAGAGAACCAGTGTGGATTATTGGAGTGATTGACAGTGCAGACAAAAGAACATTAAAAAGGCAAAAACTGAATCTCCAGAAGTCAATTTCTTGGATGCAATATGAAGATATTTTTCATATGTTTTATAAATCAGTGGTGACATTCTGAAGACATGCAGTGCAGCACATCCTGAACAGTTTAAAAAGCTCTTAGGATGGAGAAGAAAATGGCTTCAACTACAAGAAGCGAAGTCCAGCTGCTGTGATGATTTAATGTTTTGATTTCCCATGGCCTGAATGAAGGACAATCTTCTTCTGCTTTAAACTGCATGAATTGAAGCAAATATTTCAGTTTTCCCCTCAAACTAGCATAGAAGTTTGCTTGAATTTTGGCGAATTTCCAGTGAAAAAGCTGATTTGAAGGCTGCATTGATTTCAAACTCCCTTCAGCTCTGCCCATAAATGTTCCAATGATCCCCTGAAACCAAAGGTTGTGATGTTTGCTCCAAAACATTAACACAATGACCAGAAGGCATTTTGCAAGTAATCTGACACTATGATAATAATAAGCACCTGTTTTGACATAACCTATGCTTAAGCTGTAGTTTCCTGGCTGATATAAAATGCAAAAATACAAAAAAACAAACTTTGAATTCAGTTTCAGCACACAGAAACCAGGAGCTGCCTCCATCATTAAGCGCTGTGCTCCTGATTACACCTGAAAGCCTTTATTTATGATACTTTTGAGCTGATTTTCACATTTTACATGAAAACGTGTCCTTGTCTAGGAGACATGTCTTTCTGATAAAGCTGACAGCATTTTAAATAGTTATCATAACACAAGTTGTCTAACATCCCATCATTCAGTTAGTTATAATCAAAATGCTTTTCAGTTCTGTTAAACACATCCAGTAGTTCATCTCTGTTTTTCTACGTTAAAATTCTTCATAAGATTAAAATGGTTCAAATGTTGTTGTTTTTTTGCATAAATTTACGCATTAATGTTAACATGAAGAGAATAAATTTGCTCATGAATTAAAATGTCGAGTCATGCACAAAATTTCAAGGAAATAAAAAGGTAAATTGAGGAGCTCTGTAGAAAAATAGCTGAGACAGTGGGGGTCAAGAGCTGGGCTCGCCTGCCCCCTAGTGGTCATATTTGGCACAACTGTATTCCTTTACAGCAAAATAATTAAATAAATAAAAATAAGGACATAAATAAATAAATAATTATTTTAAAAATGAAACAGAAGAACTAATAAAAGAATGGTTATATACTTTTGTTTCTGCCATGACAACACTGATACATTTTTTTATTCTAGAAGTTAAATCTTCTAAAGAATTAAATATCTAATTATAAATATTATAATTATATTATATGTATTATATGTACATATATATATAATTATATGTACATATATATATAATTATATGTACACAATATGTACATATATATATATATATATATATATATATATATATATATATATATATATATATATATATATATATATATATATATATATATACATATATATATATATATATATATATATATATATACATATATGTTTATTTATATATTTATATAGATAGATAGATAGATGATAGATAGATAGATAGATGATAGATAGATGCATTCATTGTTTTAAAATATATTTCACTATACCTTAGCAAAAAAAACAAACAACAAAAACACAAAAAATCTGGCTAATTATTGTTCTTAGTTTAAATCCTTTAAATTATGTTGCTTATAAAGTTTTCATTTATTCAGTATGTAGCTATGCACAGCCACACCATCTAGGCACAGTATCTCTGGATTTAGAACATATATCTGGGGTTCCTTTGGATAAATGGACTTGCATCGCCTCTTTTTCTTTCCAGGGCCCTGTAGGACGAGTCTGCAGCCACTCACACCTGCTATTTAGCATACTTTCCTTCTCAAGAAGCTCTGTGAATCCTTTATACTTTAGCATGCTAATGCATGTGCTTCCATGTGTTCACAGATGCACACTAAGACGAAAGACTAAGCTGCAGCTATATACCACCCTGAAAAACACTGAATAATCACAATAGGTTCTGACTCTGACACACATGGGCAGGATGCCTGCTGCTCTAAAAGCTTTTTCTTTTTAAGTTCACTTTTTCTGTTGTCTTCTTTTTGCTATAATCTTCTCTGTTTTCTCTTCCCCTCTCCTCATACAGGTGTGGAAACAGACATATAGGGGTTTCTCTATATATTCTGTTTCTATTTCTGCTGTTTTAATTTTCTCTTTTTTCATGCACTCTTTCCTGTCTCTATCTCCCTCCATCTCTCCTTAGTTCTTATCTTGTGTATGATTCCACTCCCCAAATAATGTTCAATCAAGTTTAACAAAATCAACAATATTTAACAATATCAAGCAGAACTTTATGGTAACTGTCATACACACACACAGGAACATTAAGTCTTAATCGAGAACCACTGTAAAGTTTCTGTTAATGATGCAGGAGTTTGAACGTGAATCTGTCTCTCCTGCCAATGGATTATAAATCAGTGACTGATATGAGCCTCTCAGTTAAACAAAGGAAGAGTCCAGCAAAAATCATTAACGCCTTCAGAACAGCAAGTTTCTCATTCACCAAATGTAAACAGTCTTAATCTGGGAGTGCTGCAGGGTCTGCCCCCTCATCATGCACACAAACTCAAAACGCTGTTATCAAACAATTCATTTTATACATTTACATGGTTTAGGTGACATTTTTTAGTTTCATTCTAAATTCCTACCTATATACATTTCAATGAATAATACAGCATTAGAGATTTGAATCTATGCTCATATCAAGTGTTCGGTTTATATTTTTAAGCACGTGTCGTTTCTTATCCCTGTTTTACTGTAATTAGACTTTGTTTACTTTTCTTTCTCTTTACCTGCTGATTTATTATATTTTGACCAAACAGATTTTCTGTAAGAACCTTAAAATTCTATAAATCAAAATAATTTGGGTTTTTCTGCATCTTGTTTCAGGGTTAAGTTTTATTACTGTGCAGCTAAGAGGTTAATATGTGTCACTCATGTGTAGAAATGTCAATAAAGTTTTGTTCAAAAGTAAAACAAAAAGTTGTGCACTTCCTTGATGAGCTGTGAAAGCTGCACACGAGTGTTTGAAAGACACCAAAAACTACAATCTGTATGAATTACTGCACAATACAAGCAATGAACTGAGCAGTTAAAATCAGTATTACAGGATTTCACTACTAGTCTTTGTTTGCAAAGCAGATCTACATTTATCTACCAGTTGGAACCTGCTGAAACACAGACGAGCCTCTGATTCGCATTCCATAGGCAACCATACTGGTATAAAAGAAATACCACATGCACAATTGTCCTCACCTTCTTGTGAAAGCTGTGCAGAAAAGAGCTAGTGCAGCAGTCGTGAGACGTGAACCAGCCTGTAAGCTGTGTCTGTAACTGTGCTGCTGCCTGTTGCCTCATTAGTTAAACAGAACAGCAGCAGAGGGACTTTAACCCTCTGTGGTGTAGAGGGAAAGCTCACTGGACGGACAGATGGTGAACTTTTTTTTGTCTAAGAAAATTAACATAGAAAAGAAAATCACTTTTAACTTCAAACTTGGTTTTCAGAACATATGAACAATCTGTTTGACCAGTATAAGGGAATATTATGTGATGTTTTCTAACTTAAAATTTAGCTTAAGCTACATTTTTTATATATTAATTCATGCATCCAGACAAACTATAGAAAAGGTGTGGATTGAATCTTTCTCTGACAAATACTGCCTCATTATTTAGGTTACCTGGTGCAGGTCAGTGTCTCACCTGGATCTTAATAAGGATATATTACTGTGTTGGAACAGATGGGAGCTATTTCAACCAAAAATAACAAATAAAGTTATTCTGCAATAAAAACATTTTAAAAACCTGACAGATTTCCCCTTATTCTGTCGCAGAATCAAATACATTTTAACTTCAAAGACAACAATTTGCATTTCTAAAATTATGATTTAATTCAAACCAACCTGGAACTACGTGAGGACCTAAATTTATTTACAATTTGTAACAGCCTTGTTTGCAAGTACTGGCCAAGAGTTTTACACATTAATTTGTATTTCAACCCTTTTCCTTTTCATGTTTCAAGATTTATTTAAAGCAAAGCCATAGAAGCTCACCTGGATTCAGGTCTGGACTTTGACTAGACCACTCCAGAAGCTTCCATCTGTTTCTGACTGTTACAGATTATTGTCCTGCTGCATAACCCACCCGCACTTTATCTTCAGACTAGGCAGATATTCTGCTTCAGGTTTTCTGCTAATGGACAGACAGCCTTCATATCTCATTGGTTAACAGTGATCTCAGCCCAGACTTTCTCTAATATAGATAATTTTTGTCATTCTCCTACATGCTAACCTTAAAAACCAGCCTAAAATGAGTTTACATTGATTTCAGGTTATTTTTAAGTTCTTTCAAATTGTGGATGCTATCAGTATAACTGAGATGCACATTCTTAAAGCGAATTAAACAACCCATATAGACATCAGCATGTTTCACCTGTTCTTTCTTGTTTTTTGTTAATAAGAGCAGGAAGTGTTGCTTCTGTTATTTCTATTCAGTTAGAGTTGGTCTTCATCGAAGCATCCGGGCCGCTAGAAAGCAGTCAGTATTGGCAGAGAATGAACATGTTTTGAATCTTTAGCATCAAAGAACTCCAGTCCAGTTTAATCCAAACCATATTGGAGCCTGAATTTAACTGTGGATGTGAATAACAGATTCTATCTTATTAGAATGACCTTTATAAAGTTGGACTGAATTGGAAAAGAGGAAGTAAAAAGAACAATCAATCAACCAATCAATGAAACTCCCCATGAAACAGTTGGATGAGCAGCACCTGTTGCTTTAATGTTCCTTTGAAACATGATATGACAAACAGTTATTCAACATAATCCAATGTAATACTAAAGAGATAAGAAACCCGTCACCGTATTGTAATGGGAGCATATTTATGGTGATTTAGTTATGACCAGGAGCAGAAGTCTACTTTGAACTTTGCAGGGTTTTTAACGAGTTCATGTAATGTTTATACCACAACTACAAAAGGAAGAAGTCGAGGTAAGAATCTAAACCATAGAAAAATGTAAGCACGGTGGTGGCAGCATCATGTTGAGGGCTTTTCTTTCTTTGAACAAAAATGATGGATTCATAAAAAAAGAAAGACCTCCAATTCTTTACTTCAATTTAACAACTAGATGTTTAATTTTCTTTAAAATAATTTGAAGTTCTGATCATTAAAACATCCCAAGGACACATCACAACCACGTTTAAAATATCTACAGTGGATAAAATTAGAATCTGGAGTGGCCTAAACTGTAACCTGCTTGAAGGTTTCAAACAGGAACACTATCTTTATCCGGTTTACCCTGACCTCCTGGTTCATTCTCTCTCTTTTCCCACTAACATTGTTCAGGAAGTTGGGCTCTGGCAGCTTTCTGGTTGTGTGGCTTTTTTCCTGCTTTTAATCAGTTAAACTGCTTACAGTACATTTTGCAATACCAGACATTAATTCAGTGCAGGCTGATCTGAGTGTTACATTTCTAAGAAAAAGAGCTGCATAATAAAATCTGAGAGCTACACGGCTGCATGGCTGTCGGATGTAGGCTCCTCCCCGTTAACCTTCCTGACAACAGTTCGCACCAGAGGTTTTAGACCCTGAGTTATTTAGACTGCTTGTGGACGAAGCTTGGACATGACGGTGGGGATGAAGGTTGGATGGTGAACTTGGATGTAGTAGACGGCACTTCCTCCAGCCATGATGGCCAAGCTCCACTTGATCAGGCGGCCTGCCGCTGAGCTTTCACGAGGTCCCAGCTGTGTGGCAAAAATAAAACAATGAATGGTTAGATTAAATTACATTTAATCTTTATTCAGTATCAGTTTATCAATTGTTTATTATTTTTCTTTATTTAGGCCAACAATCTAAACATCAGAAAGAACATTCTTTAAAATATTTTTACAAAATAATAGAGATGCACAGATCTGTTTTTTCCCATCCAGTCCGAAATGATTAGATACTGTTGAATGCATTAACCGTATACCTCACCATGTGAGCAATGACAGGAACATTGTTTGAAAATTAACAAATGAGCACAGATTAAAATCATAACTAGCTGGTGTGTGCGCTCTCAGGATGATGTAATCATCATATAGAGAAGGGACTATATAGTGGAGGAGCTAGCCACTTGGGCCAGCTCCTCCGGGGGAATCCCAAGGTGTTCCCAGGCCAGCCGAGAAATATTGTCCCTCCAGCGTGTCCTGGTTTTCCCCCTGGTCCTCCCCCCAGTGGGACGTGCCTGGAACACCTCACTATGGAGAAGTCCAGCAGGCATCCTAACCAGATGCCCGAGCCTCCTCAACTGGCTCCTCTCGATGTGGAGGAGCAGCAGCTCTACTCTGAGTCCTCCTCAGATGACTCAGCTCCTCACCCTATCTCTAAGGGAGAGGCAGACATACTACGGAGAAAACTAATTTCAGCCGCTTATATCCGGGATCTCGTTCTTTTGGTCATGACCCAAAGCTCATGACCATAGATGAGGGTAGGAACGTAGATCGACCGGTAAATCGAGAGCTTCGCTTTTTGCCTCAGCTCTCTCTTTACCACAACAGACCGGTACAGAGCACGCTTCACAGCAGACGCCACACCAGTCTGCCTATGGATCTCCCGCTCCATCTTCCCCTCATTCGTGAACACGACCCCAAGATACTTAAACTCCTCCACTAGGGGCAGTACATCCTCTCCAACCTGGCTTAAGACCATGGTCTCGAAGATGGAGGCACTGATCCTCATCCCGGCTGCTTCACGCTGCGAACTGCTCCACTGAGAGCTGTAGATCACACCCTGATGAAGCCAACAGAACCACATCATCTGCAAATAACAGGGATGCAATCCTAAGGCAACCAAAACAGATCCCCTAGTAACCTTGGCTGCACCTATAAATTCTATCCATAAAAGTTATGAACATAATCGGTGACAAAGGGCAACCTTGGCGGAGTCCAACCGTCACCGGAAATGAGTCCGACTTACTGCCGACTGACAATGCGGACCAGGCTGTGACACTGGTCATACAGAGACCTAACAGCCCCTATTAAAGGGCCCAGTACTCCATACTCTAGGAGTACCCCCCACAGGACCCCTCGAGGGACACGGTCGAATTCCTTCTCCAGATCCACAAAACACATGTAGACTGGTTGGGCAAACTCCCATGCACCCTCCAGTATCCTGCTGAGGGTGTAGAGCTGATCAAGTGTTCCACGGCCAGGATGAAAACCACACTGCTCCTTCTGAATCCCAGATTTGACTATCCGATGGACCCTCCTTTCCAGAACCCCGTAATAGACCTTACCAGGGAGGCTTAAGTGTGTGATTCCTCTGTAGTTGGAACACACCCTCCGGTCCCCTTTTTTAAATAGAGGGACCACCATCCCAGTCTGCCAATCCAGGGGCACTGCCCCTAATGTCCACGCAATGTTGCAGAGCCACGTTAACCAACACAGCCCCACAACATCCAGAGCCCTTAGGTACTCAGGGCGAATCTCATCCACCCCTGGAGCCTTGCCACCGAGGAGGTTTTTGAACCACCTCAGTGACTTCAGCAACAGAGATGGGAGGACCCAAACCGGAGCCCCCAGGCTCTGCTTCCTCAATGGAAGACCTGTTGGTGGGATTAAGGAGGTCTTCAAAGTACTCCACCCCCCGACATACGACATCCTGAGTCGAGGTCAGCAGCACACCACCCCCACTATAAATAGTGTTGGTACTGCGCTGCTTCCCCCGCCTGAGATGCCGGATTGTGGACCAGAATCACTTTGAAGCCGTACGGAAGTCTTTCTCCATGGCCTCTCCGAACACTTCCCACGCTCATGTTTTTGCCTCAATGACCAACCGAGCTACCTGCCACTTTAACGGCTGGTACATATCAGCTGCTTCCGGAGTCCCACAGGTCAACAAAACACGATAGGACTCCTTCTTCAGCTTGACAGCTTCCCTCACTACTGGTGTCCACCAGCATGTTCGAGGGTTTCCGCCGTGACGTGCACCCACAACCTTGCAGCCACAGCTCCGACTAGCTGCCTCAACAATAGAGGCACGGAAAATGGTCCACTCAGACTCAGTGTCCCCCACCTCCCTCGGACCATGTTCAAAGCTCTGCCAGAGATGGGAGTTAAAGCTCCTTCTCACAGGGGACTCTGCCAGACGTTCCCAGCAGACCCTCATAATACGTTTGGGCCTATCAGGTCTGACCGGTGTCCTCCCCCACCAATCGCAACCAACTCACCACCAGGTAGTGGTGGGTGGAGAGCTCCACCCCTCTCTTCACCCGAGCATCCAAGACATACGGCCACAGGTCAGATGAAACAACAACAAAGTCGATCATTGAACTGTGGCCTAGGGTGTCCTGGTGCCAAGAGCACATATGGACAACCTTATGCTTGAACATGGTGTTCGTTATGGACAATCCATGACAAGCAAAGACGTCCAACAACAGAACACCACTTGAGTTCAGGTCAGGTGTGCCATTCCTTCAAACCACTCCTCGCCAGATCTCACTGTAATTGCCCACTTGAGCGTTGAAGTCCCCCAGAAGAACAAGGGAGTCCCCAGGAGGGGCACTCTCCAGTACCCCCTCTAAAGACCCCAAAAAGGGTGGCTAATCTGAACTGCTGTTTGGCGCATTAGCACAAACAACAGTCAGAACTCGTCGCCCCACATGTATGCCGAGGGAGGCAACCCTCTTGTTCACCGGGGTGAACCCCAACGTACAGGCACCAAGATGAGGGGCAACAAGTATGCCTACTCCTGCTCGGCATCTCTCACCAGGGGCAACTCCAGAGTGAAAGAATGTCCAGCCCCTCTCAAGGAGACTGGTTCCAGAGCCAGAGCCATGCGTCGAGGTAAGTCCAACTATCTCTAGTCGGAACCTTTCAACCTCACGCACTAACTCAGGCTCCTTCCCCACCAGAGAGGTGACATTCAATGTCCCAAGAGCCAGCTTCTTCAGCCAAGGGTGAGAACGCTAAGATCCCCAACCTCGACTGCCACCCATCACACATTGCACCCGACCCCTTTGGCCACTCCTACAGGTGGTGAGCCCATTGGAAGGGGGACCCATGTTTCCCCTTCGGGCTGTGCCCAGCCGGGCTCCATGGGTAAAGGCCCAGCCACTAGGCACTCGTCAGCTAGCCCCACCTCCGGGCCTGACTCCAGAGTGGGGGCCCTGTGACCCGCGTCCGGGCAAGGGAACACTACGTCAATTTATTTTATTTTCCCTGTTATAGGGATATGTACCAAAGGCTTTTAAGGTTACTGTAATTAAACCTCTGCTTAAGAAACCGTATCTTGACCCAGATGACTTGGTCAATTATAGACCTATATCCAATCTTCCTTTCTTACCTAAAATCCTTAAGAAAGTAGTTGCCAACAAGTGTGCGATCACTTCCACCATAATGAACTTTTTGAAGAGTTTCAGTCTGGCTTTAGAGTTCATCATAGCACTGAAACAGCTCTGGTGAAAGTCACTAATGATATTCTCATGGCCTCAGATAATGGACTTGTATCTGTGCTCATCCTGTTGGATCTTAGTGCTGCATTTGATACAGTTGATCATAATATTCTTTTTGAAAGACTTAAATATTTTGTTGGAATTAAAGGTACAGCACTAGACTGGTTTAAATCTTATCTATCTGACCAATTTCAGTTTGTTCACGTTAATAACAAATCTTCCTCATGCTCGAAGGTTACCTGTGGAGTACCACAGGGATCAGTGCTAGGACCAATTCTCTTTACTTTATACATGCTCCCAATCGGTAGAGTTATTAGACAGCATGGGATTAATTTTCACTGTTATGCTGAGCTATATCTGTCTATAAATCCAGATTAACCGAACCAATTACATAGATTACAGACTTGTTCTTAAGACTCTTAACTTTCTCCTTCTGAATGCAGACAAAACAGAAGTTATAGTCTTTGGACCAGAGTCTTTAAAAAAGAAGCTGATTAGTCAGTCACTTCATTTGGATGAGATTATATTGATCTCAGATAATAAAGTAAAAAGACTTGATGTTATTTACTGCTTCATTCTATCTCTATTCTCCCACTCTGCAGAATCTGTTAGTTCAATCTCTAACGTTCTGCTCTCTCTGCTTTTTCTATATTAGCTTCATCTGGTCTGTTCCTGTTTGGCTGTGACTCCATCCTGGAGAGAAATATCAGCTGTGCTGCTGCCATCAACACCTTTGTTTATAGATAATGAAGAGCTGCCTGTTTTTCAGTGTAGTCCTGTTTCTCTGACTGTTACAGGCTGGATGTGCTCTCTTCATCCTCTGAGATGGGAGCTGGCTCGGAGCTCGTCTGCCTGGCTGTAAGTTTCCTGGACGGGGCCTCCTTTCACAGTTGTTGTCTTTTGTATCTATGCTTCTGTCTCCTTGAACCCCAGTGGGCCTCGGCAGATGGCCGCTCACACTGAGCCTGGTTCTGCTGGAGGTTTCTTCCTATTAAAAGGGAGTTTTTCCTCTCCACTGCAAATAAACTGAATTGAATGATTAAATTATAAAGTGTTGTTGGTGCTAATACTGAAACAACATGATAAACATTTGAATAATGAAGTGTACAGTATGTCATCCTGTATTTTAGCATGTATGCATTACCTGGGAAGTCTTTGAGAGGCAGGTTAGGGTAGGTGTAATGACCGGAGCAGCAGATAACTGCATCAAACACATGCCTCTCCTCTAATCCGTCTTTGTTCCCCGTCACCACCTCCCACTGACCGGTGCGAGGAAAGTCTGGTCTCTTTGTGACTTTTTTCCACTGACGTCTGAGGTATAAAGAATGATCAAGGAAAGGTTACATCGTGTATTTAAGAAATGGATCAAAATGAGGTCTGGTCACCTGGAAGCGGATGTGCTGCAGTAGTTTAAAGTGATCTGCATACATCCTGAAGTACTTCAGGATTTTAGAGTGGTGCATGTAGTTGGGATAATCAGCAGGGATGGGGAAGTCGCTGTAGCACATCATCTCCTTCCAGATATTGATGGTTAAAGAGCGATAGATGCTAGCCCTGTTTGGCTCAGAGACTTCCTGGGGGGAAAAAAAGAGAATTAAAAGGAAAATATCTGACAGATGAAAATAATCTGCAGTTTTTTTTTTCCACAGCCAAGTCTTGCCTTGAACTTCCAGAGCCCCCCCATGTCATCGCTGCTTTCAAAGCAGGTTGGCTCCATGCCCTCATCCAGACAAGCCTTTATGCTGGTGAGACCAGAGGGGCCGGCCCCGATCACTGCGACTTTCTGCACCATGATGAAGCTGCTGCAGGACAAGAAGAACAAAAGGGAGACATTGAACATAAAGCTTTTCTCCCAAGACCTGGTTTAGATTATAGAGTTATGTTAAAGTAATGACAGCTCCTAGATCCCTTTGAATTCATAATTTTGTTTTAAAGTTTTTATCTAAAATCTGTTGCAAAATCCTTCAATGCATTCTGGTAAAAAGCTTTAATAAATTTGAGGGACAGATTTTGGGAGCAGCCTAAAGCAGGACAAATGTTTCCCCCTCTATACTTCAATCATAAAATCAAGCAACACATATTTATTATTAGCTTATCTTCCTAATAACAACATGTTTTTCTGGTCTACTTACAGTTTTTTTATGCTGGTGTTTCTCGGGGTAAGGAGCAACAGCCTGAGATCTCAGTTTGTTGGAATGGAGACAAACTTCTAGGAACTACGGGAGCCGAAAAGGACCAACGCCCCGCCCGTTACAGATCATTTAGATTTATCTAGATATTCTTAACATGTTATCAAGAGATAAGAACATGATGTGGTGTGGCGGCATCGCTGTGAAGTTGATGATTTATTGTTTATTATGTTGCGTTTATCTTCTGTCTAGCTTAACAGTTACGTTTCAGAAGTTATTCAGGCACTTATTCAGTTAATGCAGGCATTACGTTTATAGACTGGTGGAGATTTTCAGTTATCCAGGTCATAGTCATTCCAAAGTTAAAAAAGAATCCTAAGGGGTGGACCCGTTCGTCTGGTTCAATTTGCATGTTTTCTAAGCTAAAACAAGGCTTTGGTTTTTGGTTCTCCCCATAAAACCTCGAACTCAACGCTTTTTCTGACATTTTGAATTGAAAAAGCTTCTAGGATGGGAAGTGGAAAACTTTAAACTTGGAAAAAAAAAGTCCAGTGAATTGTTTTTTTTTTACTTTTTCAGAAAGAATTAAATTTATAGACTGTACGGCTCGTAAACAAGACAATCTAAACTGAAAAAGATTAAATTTGATGCATTTATTAGAAAATTTCTTGCTTCTGTAACCCATGTATTAAAAAAAAACAACTTATATTTTAGGGGTGCTTTGATTCAAATTAGGGTTGCTTCAGCACCCCCGAAAATAGGCTGAAAACGCCTATGCTCTCATATGTGTTGTTCAGCTATACTAATCTGTTCTAGGAGACCTTTTTCTAATTGTGTATTTTTATCTTTAATCTCATGATTTGGGAATATTCCACATTTTAATTGCGGTCTGAGATCTATTTCTTCGTATCCCTATAGCGCCCTCTGTCGGTTGCTTCTCACTTTTCGCTGTTGTCTTTATTGCACTTCACTGTCCTTCATAATGCTATTTTTTTGTGTTGAAATGATAAAACCTTAACGTTTAAAGGCTTTTGCTCCACTGTAAATCAGAATCTGGTGTGATTAGAAATGCCAGTTTGTGAAGTTATAACAGGATCATTTTCTTAGTGTTTTCTTAAGTGAAATCACATGATAGTCCCTGCTGGGTTCTCCCCTGGAAAGCAGTAACTCTGACTGAATCCAGAATATGATCTACCAGGTAATCATTCAAAGATAAGTTTGACGATGAGAATCAAAGAAGATGATTAAGCTGAGGCAGCGATTCTTGGCTTCATTTAAACTCTCAGTAATGTGTTTAATTGCAGCCTCAGCCATAAAACAAAGGCTTTGCTTTACATCATCTAAACCCAATGAACTTCTAGGTCCAAATGACCACATCAGATCTGTGCTTTTTAAGACCAGTTAATTAATCTTCTGAGACATTGCTTTTACTACCTTTTATTTGTTTGTTTTTTTATTTATGTATTTGCAAAGTTTGTACGTTGTAAAAACCTCATGGTTTTATTCTACATGTTGGTTTTTATCTCATTTTATATGCAGAAGTCAGTTCTTGACAAATTAAAACATGCTTTAAAAGGATTTTTGCACGATGTAAATATACATGCAGATATTCATGCAAACCTGAAACTGCTACAGAGAAGATACAGCTGACAGTTGGTTTGGGTTAAAAAAGGGAGACAGGCAATCTATAAATAATTAATTTTACTGATAAAAATTTAAGCAAAACTAAACTTAACAACATGTAAGAATAAAGTATCAATTAATGCAATTGTGTCTTTATTCTGTTCAGGAATACTTACACATACACAAACATTGCGCTATCTTCACAAACACAAACTAAAATGTTACAGACGCAGTTAAATATGAACTTTAATGGAAATAAATATATATGGGCATTTTTTTTACATATAGATGTAAGTAAATAACCAAATATAGAAAGGTTTTTCATAAGTTCCCGGGTTTCTTCACTCCACTCATAGGAAACATGAATGTAAAATGTAAAGGTTTTAATTTTGAATTAGGCCAATTATTTAGGATTATTTTTTTTATTTTTATTTTTTTTGCAGTAGCTCACTATAACCATGGGCGCCAGCGGCGCTTCTTACCTTGTATGCTTCTTGGCCTGTCTCTAGAAAAGGGACTGATCTCATCACAGCACCGACTTTTATACAAAGACTCAGACCCGCTGTCCATTTTTTTTCCCTTCTCTTCAAGGTAGAAAGAAAGCCAATTGAACTCTGTCCGCTGGATGAAGGGATTAAGCTTCTTTCTCTTTCCTTGATAATAAAAAATACAATTAATCAATTTATGGAGGTGGACTGATGACCTGATCAGCTGATGCCAGACCTCCACCACTGGAGCCCTGAGCTGTTCAATCACAGAGGAAGAAAAACGTTGCACAAATAGCAAACGCAATTTGGCCATGGTGTGTTTTTTTCCTGAATTAAAAACAGTGTCAGATCTAGACAAAGTTTACCAGGGGTTCCAGGGTGGTGCTGTTGTTCTTAATGGGGACACAGAACAAAAATGATGATGATGAAAACCTGGTTGTATCTTAATATGGCTGAAGTTTTAGGTGAATGCATTTTTTGAAAAGTAAATTGTAAAGATGAATGATTAAATTGGTACAAGTCAATTATCAGTTACATGCTGCAAAAATTGTCCATCTAATCTGGGTCGGGTATGGAGATAGATACACTAAGCAAGAGAAAATGCTTTTAAGAGGATTCTGATTAAAGTGCAATAATCTGCCAATGCAGTGAGACAAATGAACTTTGCAAGACCATCATGATAATCTCATAATAAAAATTACATACATCTCAAAACAAGATCTACGATTTCAGTGCATTCCATTCTGCCAAATTATATAAACATATTTTACATAAAATAAGATTTTTATATAATCTTGTTTTTTATGACACAGCAAAAAGTAATCTAAAATGTAAAAACTTCTTAAAATGAGCGGGTTAGTAAGATGATTACCAAAGAAAATTTTATTTTTAATAATTCTTATAATTACATATAAGCTACTTGATATAAGAAGATAGATTATTTATTTTATTTTAATTGAAATCATCTTATTAGATTAGTAAATTGTCTTGCTCTGCTCAAATAGAGGCAAAATACACCACTTTTGAAGAAAATTTACTTAATGTCGATTTTTTGTAATGTATCTTTTAAGTACAGATCTGTTCTCCGGGGGCGCTGACCCCTGTTACCCCCTGCCTAGAACCGCCTATGAGTAAATAGAAAGTGATAGTTGATGGCTCGCGCATTACTCATGGATCAGGCTGATTGAGAAGATGCGCGTGCATGCTTTGATTTGACTAATAGTTTGAAACAGACTGTTTCAGTAGGACTGAACTTAATGGACATCAGGGGCGGTTCTAGAACCAGAGGTTTAAGGGTGCTGAGCCCCCAGAGAGCTGTCTGGCCTGACAAGATTCATTTCAATGTTTTCTACATATTTTTAAAAACTTGTTCAGTGCATTGTGCTAATAACTGACTCCATCGTTCAATAATGCATCTGATCTGAGACGTGTGCAAAAAAACCTAACAAGCAAAGCAAAAAGGCAAAATGTTTTAGAGGAATATTCCAACCAATTAAAGCTTTTAAATCAATTAATTTCATGGAAACCTTTGAATCAGTTTTCATGAAGTGAGTTTTCTCTTTTGTGCCAAATAATTTCCATGATAAATGTAAAATAATCGACTGAATGAAATGTTTTTCTTTGCCAGTTTAACAGCTGCTGCTATTCTGTCTGGTTTTTCCTGACCTTTCACTTTGCACACACCTTGCTCCTCTGCTCCCCCTTGCTCCTCTCCCTCTTTAGACTGGCAATCAGAAAATGGATTCTAAATTCAAATAACTAAAAACTAGTAATGATTTACTAATGATTCAGTAAATTTAAATATTGATATTAAGTTGTGGTTAGATAATCAAAGATAATCAAACAAAGCAGTCTCAGACACATTAGAGCACCTCGCTGGTGAACATGTCACCAATGTTCCATCAATAGGTGCAGAAATCTGACTGAACATTTCAGAAACACCTGAATGCAACGTTTTCCTCAACATTTTAGTTAAGGAGCTCCATCAGGCTTGTTTACTTGTTTTTTTGTTTATTATTTCTGATGAACCAGGATAATGTAACGATCTTGATTCTGTTGGTTTTCTCAAAGTTTTCAGTTTCACGTTTATCCATGTTTTTCTTTGTTTTCTAGCTTTATTGGTGTGTTGTGGATTTATTTAAGTTTCTTAGGTTTTTCTTTGCTTGTCCTCTGTTGCCCCCTTGTGTTTTCTTTTCCCTTTGCTTCCTCATCAGCTCTATTCACACCTGCTCCTTATCAGCTCGTTAGTCCTGCCTTTGTTCAGTCGGCCATAAGTACACTCTTTGTGCAGTTCCTCAGTGCTGGTTCCTTGTCTCACTTTCTCTTACCTTGGCTCCTTATGATTGTTTTCCCCTGATGTCCCCACGGTTCTGGTTTGTGTTTAATTTCTATGTTGGATTTTTGGATTCCTGTTTTTGCTGCCTATGATCATTTAATAAATCTTCAAAGAACTCACCCCTGCCTCTAAGTCTCTGCATTTGGGTTCTAACAAAAACCTCCAACCAAATGGTGACAGAAGGAACCAGTCATTATGGACCCAGCAGAACACAGCCCAGACGCTCTGAGAAGAATTTCTGTTATTCTAGGAAATGCTCTGGACTCCATAGCCACTCTCAGTCCGCCTTGGAAGAGTGTGAGTGCGGCTGACCAATTAAAGCCAATCTTCCTCTCTAACTCCTCATTTCTTTCAAACCCAGTTTTATCTGAACTATTTGAAGAGTTGGAGTGGAACCGTCAAGCCGCCTTCGCCCAACTCTGCAATGGACCTCCACCACCCAAACCATCATTCCATCACCTTCCCACTCGGCTGTCTCTCACCTCTGATCCTGTTCCTCCACCATCACCAGCTGTTGGTCCTCCCCTGCCATCTGCTTCCTCCAGGCCGGGGGGTAAAGGCAGGTCAGCCTGACGCCTCCACTCCCTCTCCGGCGAGTCAGCCTGACGCCTGCTTCAGTCCCCCTCATAACCAGGTCAGTTTCCCCTATGGCTTCAGTCGTCACCTCCATGACCAGCAGCTA